GTTAAAGTGAAACTTTAGAGTAATGCAAATTTTCATGATTGAACCTATTAGAGTTAATTACATTGTGGATAACAATATGCATTTGAAAATATGTCCATTTTGTAAGTTTAAATTACATTTATCAATTCTTTTCATCATTAAATTTCACCCCTCCTTTTGAAAACAGAACTTCTTTGGTACTTGTAAAAAAAAAAAGAGAAGAAAAATCAGTGCCTAGTTTAATTGTGTACTGTTATTAGGGGTAGGTATCATGACAAACTCGCTGATATCTGGTTCATCAGTCTGACGGCAGAAATGGGACAATAATTAACGGTAAATTTATCACATTCTTTAGTTACGGTATAATTATGGTGTAGCTAGCTCATTGATCAAAGTTGTCGTGTAGATTTAAATGTTATTTTTTATTTTCTCAAGTCTCATTTTCTCTGCCATATGAATGATAATGTTACAACATGGCCATTCATTCATTGATTCGGAAAAATCACTTGTCAGAATGCTCAATCTTTAAACCATTTATAATTGTCCCCATCATAAGAACTGTTCAAAACCTGATTGATTTATAAAAGGAAAATAAATTTTCATCCATTCATTGGTTTGATATTGATCTGACTTGAGAGCTTTTAAATTTAATGCTACAGCATTGTTAAAAAATGTTTTGTACTTGTCATTCAGGTGTTTAGAGACAAATTTCTTTACTACTGTGTAACTTTTTTTTCTCTAATTTTTAACTAAATTGCCACTTGAAAAAGTAACAGAACAAGAGCTGGTTTTTATGATTTGGGCAGATTTGGGTTCTAAGGTCAAGACAATAATAAAAGTTCCTGCTCTTGAATGCCTTCTCTGCATTGGTCTGTATTCAAGTTATTGATCTTAGAGTCAAGTGTTATTGATAAAACTTGGAATATAAGTTGAAATTTAATGCTTCCAAATTAAAACTCTAGACTAGGAACAAAGCTGAAGTGTATATCTTCTGAATATTTAATGTTTGCTATTTACAGAAGGACTGACCACTTAAAGTTTGCTATAATTCAATCTGAAATATATTAAGATGTCATTTTTATGATACATGTACTAAAAAATTAAGGCACCATACATTTAAATATGTTTCAAGTGCAATAATGAGAGAAGAGGGGTGGGGCAGAGGAAAGAGTACAGACTGGGCATGTGAAAGTCATAAAATCGTAATATTTAGATCAGCCATCATAGAGATCAAATTTAAATATGATGAGATAGAAATTTGATATACAGTTTTGTGTAACAAAGATATTAAGGTAAAAGGTATGCATTTAGCATTCTTTGTTCTGATGATGTATTAATTCATGTAATATTTAATTATAGAAGTTGCCCTAATGTGGTCCATCAAGTAAACATTTATCTGATTCTGATCTTGGTGAATGGAAGAGAACTCTAGTTCAGTTTTGCTCAAGGTGAAAAGTAGAACCAAGTTCTCTCCCTTATGCCTACAGTGACATTATTTTTTAAAAAGATTTCTAAATGTTTCATTATAATTTTTTTTTGAGTTACCATACAAGTGTCAGCTAGGGCCTTTTATACTTGTATGGGCCTCTTGTTTTTGAGTTACCATACAAGTGTCAGCTAGGGCCTTTTACTTATATGTATTCATTAATTAATGGAATTAATCTTCGTGAAATTTAAACCTGATTAACACAAATCTGCTCTGACCTGAAGAAGAAATTTTAATGCCATTAGCTACTGGTCAGTGTAAGAATATTTTAAATCATTATTGGTTTTTAGCACTAGCTACTGTTCAGAGCCCAGAGGAACTGATGCAATTATCTCTTGTCCATATATCCGTGTGTTTGAAAAAAAATTAAAATTGCTACTCCTAAAACTTTTTTCCAATTTCAGTACTTGTCACATAAGTCGACAGCAAGAAGATCAATTTTATTTAACTTTTTTTGTGATAAATTGTTTTGCTATGGTTACTAAAAAAGGAATTTCTGTGAAATTCTACCAGAACACTACTTCTCCTACAGTTTTAATCAGATTTCAGTGTAACTTGGCATACAATTTGACAACACAAAGATAGTACCTAATTTCTGAATGATTTTGCCATGGCTGTGAAAAATAGAATTTTATGTAACATTCTTGCAAATGGCTACACCTCCCACAGTTTTAGTCTGATTGCAATAAACATGATAAATCTTGCTACAAAAAGAATAAATAAACCGAGTAAGAATATTTTATTGTTTTATGTTTTAAGTACAAACCAGTACAGCTGCAGTCTCATCGGAGACTGATGGTTATATATATTTTTAGAAGTATTGTCTGTATCTCTAATTGTCATCTCATGAAATATTCGTTAATAAGAGTGTTAATTGACTCTGTCAATCTGTCTGATTGATCATTACATGTTTACAATCGTAATCTTAGTCTTCGGGGTGTTTTATAACTAAACTTTATTAATTAAAGTTCCTCTGATATATTCAGCATGAACATTATATGAATTTGTAAAGGGAATGAAGATTGTGTATTTAATATGTCCCTGAGATTAAATAGAAAGTCCAAATATAATTTGTGTTATAAAATGACAGGTAACATGCGTATTCTTTAGATATGGGATAAAAATCTTTTAATTATACTTGTCATTAATAATTTGAATGGTATTGATTTTTTTGATGACATTTTTTCGCTGTTATTTGCTTTATGGAGTAGGAAATAGTCTCCCAAGTCTGTTGTCATGGTATAATTTTGACTTTGTGAACTCTTCACACTTAAACCTACCTATAGCTGCTTTTAAGTCAACAGTTAACAATAATGAATATGCCCAGGACAAATGGAATAAAACTCGCACAACAGAAAGTTATTACAAATAATAACAGGGATTCAATCCACGTGGAAAATTGTCAATACTGCCCAATAAATGATTTCTTTCAGTAGACCTGGGTTTGTGTTGGGATTGACAATCGGGTTGTCGGTAGATAGAGAGGACAAGAACAAAAAAGGTTTACACACTGAAAGGTGGGCAAACAGGGACTATGTAAATACTGCAGATAAACCATCCCCACCCTATAATACAGACCTTACAACATTTATCACACAGTTGGAAATTTTTTTGGGAAATATTTCAGTGTCGGGTATGTGATCATTGCATTGCCATCTCTTTTATATCAATGCTCAGTGTGACTGGTTTAATCCAAACAGAGGAAATTATAGTAGCCAGATCAAATAAACCCAGAGAGATTAAGTCCTGCACCTCTTATACCACTGCCAAGTCTTAATAATAAATATTTTAAACCTACAAAGACATTGTAATGGTCTTGCTCGTATTCTCTCAGTTTGTATATGTACTGACTAAATCTGATCAATATTGAATCAGGCTGTAAACAATTATAGCCAGAGATAACCATTTCATTTCCATGTGGGACGCTCACCTTGTAGGATTTTAAACATCGGAGGAACATGACTTTGGTCTGTCTCTGCTAAGTTCTCTTCCTTTTGTGTTAATTAATTGACCATGTCTTTGTGTGGATGCAGGGTGGGTTCAGATATGGAAATTTATCAGTGTTAATGTCATGACTTGGAATGTAGAATTCACACCTGTAGTTAGTGAGGTATAAATGACAGGTAAACTAAGTTGCTCAATTAAAAGATGTCCTTGTGAATTGTATTAGATTTAGGATTTACTCAGAACGTATTTTTTCTTAATTGAAAAGTTTTTGAACATTTTTGAGATGTTTACGTCCACTATCTGGTGGTTGGAGATGGAGGGGGGGGGTTATATTGTGTTTTACCTGCACCTATGTCTGAGTGTTGCCTAAAAATAAGTCAAATTTAAATTGAAAACAAAGAACTTATCTTGGTATGTTATCTTGAAAAATATGACCCTCTTAATTCCTGAAGAATAAAGAAAAACTACACCTATTTTCGTTATGGCTAAATGAGCTTTTCTTGTAAATTCATTCATTGTGTGGTCACCCAAGTTGTTTTAAATGTTAAAAGTTTAAGATCGTTTAGCCTTATGGTAGTATCAACAAATAAAAACAAATGTCTGATCTTTTATAAAATCACCATGACACTGAGTTTACAAATAAAGATGAGGGTGAATATATTTAAATTGTCAAATTGAAGTTCTTAGCTCTGTGAAAATTGTGGCATATAAAATTCTTCACTTTGTTAACCATGTTGAAAGAAAAATTATTTAAAGTTTTCCATTTATTTGTACAGTAATAATTCCTTTCTGTACAGTGCATATTTTCTATTCTAAATTTTTAATTTGCCAAGTGAAAAAGTTATATCATTGCTCTTAACTTCAAAAAGGCTAAGAGTTCTGTTATACAGTTATAGAATGACTTGTATTCATGTTAAAAAAGACATTGGCATATTAAACAGACAATCCACTCTTGCTGTCTGAAGTAAAGTTAACGTCTATTTTTTTGACATAGGTCCATGTCTACATAGATATATATTTTACTGCAATTTAAAGGGTTAAGTAATCCAGGCCAATCGTAAGTGGAACGCTGTAAATTACAGGATTTACGAAAAGTTGGTCAAGCTCGGTCAGCTTAAGTTTTCATTTAAACTATACCCGCAATAACGATATCTGTCAAAATGATCATTTGTAAACAAATGGAACTGTTACTGTGTGTCTTTGACAAAAACCTGAAACAACAGAAATTTAAAAACCATTAAGAAATACTACAGAAGTATATGTATAAGACACTTGATAGTACATTGTTGATTAATGTAGGAGTTTAACTGTGTCACATTTAGTATTGATACGACAGATAACTATTGGATAACTAATGTTGGCTTTAAATGTCATTCAGGGCCTTAATGGGTGAAAGTACAGGGATTGTTTCTTTGAGTGTTTGGAATGTTCCACTCTTTGATATATATATGTAAATCAATCCTAACTCCAGTTAAAACAAAGCAGTTAGCACCTGTGAAGTATTGAAATGAAAAAAAAAATCAAATGGGAAGAAGTGCTCGTCAAATTTTTGCCTTTTGCGTAGATGATTATAAGGAAGAATGTCAAGTCATTGATTAGATTTTTCTTGGCAGGGGAGTTTTATTTGATGTGAATTTTAATTACAGAGGATAATCCCCTTTGTTTCTAAATATAAATGGACTTAATTTTTGTTCAGATTGATTCTCAAGTTCTAAAACTTGTGTAGTTATGTGAAGTTGGAATATTCGCTTATTAGAAATTTTGCTCCTGTTTACTTGCTGAGGACAAGGATAATATTTGTCTTAATTAACGTAAAGTTTATGATCATGAGTTACTGGTCACCAGCCCCCAAAGATTCTGGGGTGTCTAAAACTAGTGAGGGGTTGAGTAGGATAAGTTGGAGGGACAGACCAAAGTCTTACCAATTCTCTGATACCCACAGACCGGACTATAGACCACACGTAGAGTTAGACAACAAAGGGAGTAAGTCACCGAGGAAAAAAACCCGTCCAACGTCCTTCCCCTCCGATCTAAAGGAACACCAGATTAAACACAACAAGGAGAATTTAAATCAAGATGTCCATCAAGGAAATAAAACTCACAGGGATAGAGAAGAGGACATTAAGAATAATGTGAAGCATTCTAAAGTGACAAAGCACCGGGTAGGATTAGTGAAAAGTGAGGAGGGCAAGCATGGAAAAGGACACAGTTCTGTACGTATAAACGATCACACTGCTCACAAACATACCCCCAAACATACCAAAATGTCACATCACCACCACTCCAGTGCTAACCAGGTGTGGGCAGAATCTCCTAGAGGTGAGGGAGGAACTCACAGAGGCAGGAGGCATCAGCAGTTTGAAATCAATGTAGAAATCACTCCACACCAGAGAAAAAGGGTTCCAGATCAGCTAGATGATGGTCCGCTATCCACACACAGAGGGAACCCTGGGACATTCCGCAGCCGACCGCAGGATAATCCTTCCAGGAACCAGTACGTTCCCTCCCAATTCTCTCAGCAGGATGGAAATCAGAGGGGAAACCAAACTCAGAGAGGCAAACGCTTCCATGAGGATCAGACCTATGACTCAAGGTCACCTGCATCAAACCATACAGACAGTGGAGAGAGCATGAAGAAAGTGAACATTAACAAAAACCCAGACTCTGTAGTGCAATATGTGATGAGATCCAAATCTAATTCTAGAGCCTCCTCCACATCTAAAGAGGCCCCGCCTGTAAGTGTTAAATATAATCCTGTCCAGAGGGCCCCTAATACGGCCCAGTACCTAGACAGTCCAAATGTTGGTGCTCCATTTAGGGATGAAAAGGATGAACTTTATCATCAGAAGGAGGTGAAAATTGCCAGTTATGTACAAAATAACACACAGCAGAGGTATATAGATGAGAATTCTGACTCTTCCTATTCTTACAACAACCTGCCTCAAAGTAATGGTGTACATTCTGGGAATGGAAAATCTGTGCAATTTTCTGATGATGCGCGCAATGACGCCATGTTGAGGACAGGTCAGCAATTAGGTCCTCAGCCCTATCAGGGTGAAAGGCCAAATGTACAGAGAAATATTAACAGCAATTCTAATGGACAAATGATGAATGTTAAAGCTACTCAGGATAATCCCGATCAAAGACAACCATACATGCAGGGTAACCAACCAATGCAAAACTCAGACAATCAGTCAAGCAATAAACTAAATCAGGAGTACAAGTTCCCAGATTCTGAGGAGGAAGATGAGGCACTGGATTTGGGTGACATTGATTCTGTTTACGAGGGGAATGATGCTTATATATGTTATCTGATGAAGGATGATGGAGGAATGGCCGGTCCATTACGACTGGACATTAATGATGTCCAACTAGGCCTTCCCAGCGAGGTTCAGGTGAAGGAGAATGAGCCAGGTACTGTATCCTATTTTATTCTTAGACCATTAAATGGCTGCTTGCAGAAATTGAACTAAATTGCCCCTGTCAATTTTTTTAGTGTCAAGGACCTGAATTACAAAGAGAGAGAATTTTTATGTAAATTTTTGCGGGTTGAGAACCACTGAAGGATCTCTCTCCGTGTTTGTTTTATTGTTTGTTTTATTGTTTACAGTCTTTGATGTACAGTGCTCCTTAGCTGCCTTTATTGAGGCCTGAATTGATATGTCAAATGAAAAGCTACCTGAACATCTCTCTCTCTCTCTTGACATGCATGGAAACAATACACACAACATAAATTTGTTTTATTAGGTGTAATTCTGATTGAGCTTGTATTGAATTTTACTTGTGAAACACAGGTGTGCACATTGGAGAAATTTAAAAAAAAATACCAAAGACTACCAAACATTTCCGAGTTTCTTGTCAGCATTACATGATAGAAGAATGTACACAGTTACCAAGCGCTAATTGTAAAATTTATCATTTATTAATGATAGGTAACCCCTACTGTTTAATCAACCTTCTCATTTATTAAAGATTCTTTAGATATTAGCTTGATCAAGACTTAAAGGCTTATGTCGGAATCCAAGATCTAATGAATTTCCAGCACTTAATATCTAAACCTTTCATTTGTACTGCTGGGAGATAATAAAGTAAAGAGAATTTCTAAAATGGAATGTTTGCATGACATAGTTCTGATAATGATTATGTCTAATAGTAAATGGTGATCTAAACCAGAGTTTCATTTTAATACAGACAGTGGAGCTGCAGTTTCATCAGAGACTTGTTATTGTTTAGTTGGTAGTTAATCACCAGCAACAGACACATGCTTAGCTTGTTGCAACCACCAGGTTTATATGGCTGGCCTTTCTTAAAATCTCTCTGATCTTGTCAAATAATACCTCAGGGTAAAAATAACCCTGTACACAGTATTGGATAATACCATTATAATCTCAGTGCTATACACTGTACTAATGTCATTAGTTCTTGCTTTAGGATTTCCCTTTTACTACCATTTTGTTATTTTTGCATTAAAATACTCTATCTGTACTTTAAAAAAGTATACTTTAGCATCTTTGGCGCAAAGTTGTGCTAATTCATGAATTCCACTAAGAAATATCATTTATAAATTCATTTACAATGGTAACAATACATGGCATGTTATTATTGAGTGCTAATTCATGAAAACGTCAACAACTCAATATCCAATGATTGCGCTAAATTTTGAATACACCAGTTTATATACATGCACATACAGTATAACATAACTGGTATTGATAAAGTACATGTATCACAAAATTAACATTTTTTGCTTTCACTTAGATGAGGATCTGAACAAATTGATTTTGGTATAATTGTCATATATACAGTAAAACTCGTATAGTACGAACACAGATATAGCGAATTCACAGAAATAGCGAAGTTTTTCGGGGTCCCCAGCAAAATTCTTAACAATTCTTTGTGAATTTTATGGTTATAACGCACTCTGATATTACGAATTTATGGATATAGCGAACTGATTTTGAGTATCGTAGAGTTAAAAATAATGAAATTTACATCTTTTAAAACGAATTTTCAAAAGTTAAAAAATTTGATGTATTGAACTGACCTTTATTTTCTATAAGAATTCATAAGAAATAAAATTCTATTCATAATGAAAACCTTAGATACATAGCCAAGATATGATTTGTGATAATTGGTTCATAGCCACCATATTCGGTTGTAATACTTGAAGGAAAACGTGCATATTGCGAATTCGCTATATATACTGATACAAATTCGTTATACGGATATAATAAATTACAGATATAGCAAATTAAATTCACAGGTTCCCATGACTTTGCTATAACCGAGTTTTACTGTAGTTGACAAATGTGAACAGGACCTATATTATTAAGTGTTTTAGAGGCATATAGTATGATTTTGTTTGTAGGTATGAGGAACAGACAGACGGGGTCTCATGGTCTGAACGAGTTCTCTAGTAGAAGCCACAGCATGCTGACCCTGACCATCGACACTGAACAACAGGACCCCGACGACGAAAATCTGTACCTCACAAAACGGGGAAAACTCACCTTCGTAGATTTAGCAGGTAACTAGAAAATCTGTACCTCACAGAATGAGGGAAACTTACCTGTATAGATTTAGCAGGTAACTAGAAAATCTGTACCTCACAAAATGAGGGAAACTTACCTGTATAGATTTAGCAGGTAACTAGAAAATCTGTACCTCACAAAATGAGGGAAACTCACCTTTGTAGATTTAGCAGGTAACTAGAAAATCTGTACCTCACAAAATTAGGAAGCGTCTCATTATTATGTTTATAGATCTAGCAGGTAACAGGAAAATCGTATGTATGAAATGAGGGAGAGTCCCCCTAAGTTTATGATAAAGCAGGTAACAGGATAATCTATAATTTACAAAATGAGGGAAACAGTTGTATTTAATTTACAATGATGAAGGATAATGTAAAGGAATAATTCTCCTTCTATGAATTCTGATTATCATTGCCTGATTATCTGAATGGACTCTTACATGTAATACGTTTATTGACCATTTCAGGTAGTGAAAAAGTGAAGGATTCGGAGTCCAGTGACCAAATGTTGAAGGAGTCAAATAACATAAACAGAAGTCTGTTGGTGCTAGGTGGGTAGTCTTACATTTATATCAGTATACTATATACCAACTTATCTTCTATTCGTGATTCACCATTTTGAAATCAATCTACATTAATTTTCACAACTGAGAAATTAGCAAAATAATTGGTTCGCTTCAATAAAAATTCGCAAGTTAACGAAGGTCAAGAAACTCATGGATATTTATAAAGCGAATTGATTTACAGTAAACTCTGTGTGTTCATGTTAGGTTGGTACTGTGTGTCTAGTCATAGAGTCATTACACTTATAACACTTATTAGTTCCTGGGGGAGTGGGGAGTGGACTGTACATCCAGGTCTTACAGTTATAGATACAAACTAAACTATCAGAGAGGTCTATAGCCCTGGGATAACTCTCAGGTGCAGTGAACAAGGATTGTTTACTTATAAGAAGATGATTGAAATCAGTTGAATTGCCCTAAGAGGGATTATGGATTTTTAGTTCAATTTCAATTCAATTTATTTAACATTACTGTTAGAGTAGTGAACAATAATTAAACTTTATTCAAAAGTTTTAAATGTGCATTTTAGTTGTAAATGCCACTTTATGAATTTCAATTTAAATTGGGAGATTTATTTCAGTGTAAGGAAATGCTAGATCCTTGTTATGGAAAAAATTGTACTGGTTTTCTGAAAGGAACATGAACGTAAATTATTATTATTCCTTTAGTATATACCAATAAAAATTACTGTGGTGTAAAGTTCACTTAATGGGTTTTAATGTGTCAAACCACAAAATATTTTCTACGAAAAAATATATTTTTAACTTAGAAAAAGGAAAAGTAAGGGGAAAGTGAATGACACTACATAACAGAACTGATCATGCAGATATTTGTTTTTTATTAATGAGTTATTTAGTTGCTTGAATGAATTATTCACAGTTACATCACAGTGACTTGCAGTATCTTCCAGTTTGTGTTATATAAAATCTGGATATCAAAAAAACTATATTGGAAATCAATTTTGTTATAAAAATGGGAAATCAATTTTTTGTTGTTGTAAAATTCTTTGATATTCAAGAAACTATATGGGAAATCAATCTATTTTTTTTAACACAGGAAACTGTATCTCCTCCCTGGGTGATCCCAAAAGGCGGCAGGGCCACATTCCATACAGGGACAGTAAACTAACAAAGCTCCTGGCCGACAGTTTGGGAGGAAATGGGGTTACTCTGATGGTAAGTCACAAAAAGGTTTTCTTTGATGGAAATTTCACAAAGAGGTTACTCTGGTGGTAAGACACAAAGGGGTTACTCTGGTGGTTAGACTAGACACAAAGGGGTTAATCTGGTGGTAAGACACAAAGGGGTTACTCTGGTGGTAAGACACAAAGGGGTTACTCTGGTGGTAAGACACAAAGGGGTTAATCTGGTGGTAAGACACAAAGGGGTTAATCTGGTGGTAAGACACAAAGGGGTTACTTTGGTGGTAAGACACATAGGGGTTAATCTGGTGGTAAGACACAAAGGGGTTAATCTGGTGGTAAGACACAAAGGGGTTACTCCGGTGGTAAGACACAAAGGGGTTAATCCGGTGGTAAGACACAAAGGGGTTAATCTGGTGGTAAGACACAAAGGGGTTACTCTGGTGGTAAGACACAAAGGGGTATACTCTGGTGGTGAGACACAAAGGGGTATACTCTAGTGGTGAGACACAAAGGGGTATACTCTGGTGGTAAGACACAAAGGGGTATACTCTGGTGGTAAGACACAAAGGGGTTACTCCAGTGGTAAGACACAAAGGGGTTAATCCGGTGGTAAGACACAAAGGGGTTAATCTGGTGGTAAGACACAAAGGGGTTAATCTGGTGGTAAGACACAAAGGGGTTAATCTGGTGGTAAGACACAAAGGGGTATACTCTGGTGGTAAGACACAAAGGGGTTACTCTGGTGGTAAGACACAAAGGGGTTACTCTGGTGGTAAGACACAAAGGGGTTACTCTGGTGATAAGACACAAAGGGGTTTATCTGGTGATAAGACACAAAGGGGTTACTCTGCAGGGCTCGACATAACGCTTGTCCGGTACCAATGAAAAAAAATTACAGACAGGTGAATAATGCTGGGCACTTGTCCGATTGGACAAGTGATTTTTTATGTAAAGACTTCAAATAATGATAATGTAAAAAAAAACTTATTGAAAAGTTTATTGAATAAAAACGGAAGCAGTACACCAACCCAAATTCTTATCCCTATATCAATCGCTATGTAAGTTCACACTTGATCGGGATCGATGTTCACTAATTGCAAACATACTATTGCATGGCGTGGATCTCACGACGTTTGCAGGTTTGGAATATATTTGATTGATATTACAAATTCATTTGCGAACATTTATGTTGTTGTCAGGACAGGAAGTCTAGATAAAATTTTATTTTATATGTGTTTGTCTTATTTATCAATAACGACACTGATAAATCAAGCACGTGTAATTTTATAAGTATTTATTTTCAAGTTGACAGAAGAATTAAGATATTCATTGAAAAATTTTCGGACAAGTGAAGTTGAAGTTCGGACAAGTAAATATCTTGGTCACTTGTCCGAATGGATGAGTAGGAAAAAAAATTAATGTCAAGCCCTGCTCTGATGGTAAGACACAAAGGGGTTACTCTGGTGGTAAGACACAAAGGGGTTAATCTGGTGGTAAGACACAAAGGGGTTAATCTGGTGGTAAGACACAAAGGGGTTAATCTGGTGGTAAGACACAAAGGGGTTAATCTGGTGGTAAGACACAAAGGGGCTACTCTGGTGGTAAGACACAAAGGGGTTACTCTGGTGGTAATACACAAAGAGGTTAATCTGGTGGTAAGACACAAAGGGGTTAATCTGGTGATAAGACACAAAGGGGTTAATCTGGTGGTAAGACACAAAGGGGTTAATCTGGTGGTAAGACACAAAGGGGTTAATCTGGTGGTAAGACACAAAGGGGTTAATGTGGTGGTAAGACACAAAGGGGTTAGTCTGGTGGTAAGACACAAAGGGGTTACTCTGGTGGTAAGACACAAAGGGGTTACTCTGGTGATAAGACACAAAGGGGCTACTCTGGTGGTAAGATAAAAAAAGGTTAATTTGATGGTAAGTGGCATTAATGAATCTCCTAACACAAATGATACAACTAATAATTGCCAGTTACTGTAAAATCACGTATTTTTGTGGTGGACATGAATTCATGGGTCTCTTCACACCTCGAAAACAATGAAAATTAAACCCTACGAAAATTTGTGATTTCACAGTACATGTATTTGAGCTATAGACAGCAAATTGACACTTTCCACCCAATCCTAGCAATTGAATTGTATCATTGTGTTACATTACACCTGTGTGATTTTATCAGAGAACTATAAACTCGAGATTAACACAGGTTCAGGCAAGGAAGTCAGAAAGGTAACATTTTTGTTTTACAGTTTGCCTTTTTTATGTTATCTCTCTAAATGATTGATAGGTAGGCACTTAAAGAACACTCCTTGTTCAGAAACTCTGATTTGTACTTCTGTATTGGTTATGAAAATAAAATATTGAATTTTTCGGCCAATGTATTTTAAAAATCAGGTAGAATTGATTTCCATAAAAGTTTGATTACTTTGTAGCATTTACTCTTTGCCCATTTATGGTAGATATCGATAAATGGCTATTCACTGTATTGTTAAGTATATTGCATAGCACTTAAGTGGTGATTATGTGTGATATTTAATTGGTATCTATTTTAAATAATTTTCTGTATTTATTCGATTATGTAGTGTGAATGATTAGTAGGTCTTAGTTTAACATTTGTATTTATGAAAATCCTAAAATGGTAAAAGAGAAAAGGGTAGATTTTTTGTTAATCTTGTTATACCCCCCACTTGAAAAGTGGGAGGGTATATAGTAATCGGTATTTCCGTCCGTCTGTACGTCCATCCATCTGTTACGCTTTGGGGTACCCATCTCTTATCTGCAACTCCTCTCATACCACTGAAGGAAATTTAATGAAACTTTCATAGGTTCTTAATTACATATTGCCATTGTGCACCTCCTATTTTACTTTTTGATCTGACATATATTTTTGATTTTCCAGAGCAAAACATGGACACTGCCATTATATTCATATGGGAGGCGGGGGGTATCATTTAGTGAGCTCATTGCTCACAGTACCTCTAGTTTAACATTTGTTACCCATCAGATTTCTACTGTTATAGATTGCCTGTGTGACCCCTTCATCTCACCATGTCCATGAGACCATCAACACACTGCGCTATGCCAGTCGAGCCAAGAAAATCAAAACCAAACCTATCGTCAAAATGGTAAGGATTGGTCAAGGAAGTGCATGTAGATATGTATTACTATCAGAATACTAGCTCCTCATGTCACTGCCAGCTTAAGTTTTAATAAATTACTGATATATTGATTTTATGTTTGAATTTTGACAAGATTCAAATCATATCTATTTACTTTGCTCGTATGTTAAATTTGATAACAAAACACCAGTCAATGGATAATGAATATCTTATGAAGGTATTGTATGAAATGAATGTTTATTATGTGAATCTTTTTCAGTAAAATGATTTGTATGTGATTTATAATGACAATGGCATGATTGATTTTGTAGGATCCTCGAGAAAAGTTAATATTAAGTTTGAAGCGCGAGATCAAAATCCTCCGGAATGAAAACATCTATTTGCGGCAACAGGTAAGTTAGGAGTTATTTTCCTTTTTTGCCAATCTCAAATGTTTCTTGTCAGCATTTCTCCTGTCAACAATATGTCTCTGGAAAGTCCGAAACAGGTAAGAGAACTAAGAGTGGTTTCCCTCGTAGGTAAATGATGGACATGGCAACAGATAAATCAGGATTTATCTCCCCTGTCAGTGTGTCTCTGGGACCAGTCTATCTACCTTATAGGTAGATACCCCAGTTGTCTGCCTTGTCAGTTAATATTTGATGACCTTTTACTGGTTAAACATTAACCAGCTATGTGTTTTCCTCTGTTACTTAATCATTAGGTACCACTGGCAGGTGATTTATTGATTTTTTGCACTTGTATCAAGTGTTGACTTTTATGTGAGAAAGAGGTAATAAAATATTCTAAAAGGCCACAGTTTTATGATGAATAATTATCTATAACCAGATTTTTTTTCCCAAGAACGATTTTCAATTTGTAAACATTTTGTCTTCTATTTTACAGTTAGAGTTCCCAGCTAAACCCAAAGGAGAGCTACAGAAGTCAAATGATGAAAAATTCATGAAATTTTTAAAGAATCAAGGAAAAGGTATACATCATGTGTGATGGAACATTGTTCATATTCAAAAAAAAAAAAATTCTATACATTGTTATGAAATAATTATAAGGAAAGCTCAAATCATCAGACAAATTAGACATGACCATTATTGAAATTGGTTTTGAGACACAGAAGTTGTTTAGAGTATTGTTATAATGTGTCATTTCTGCTTGACCAGAGTCCAATGACCCCAAAACAAATTCTAAGGGCGGAACTGAGGCGGGGCTGTATGAGATGTTACAGGAGTACATGATCGAGAACGAAGCCCTGAGGTACGCATCTCTTATATACATAAACAATGAAAGGAAGTCTTCTTACAAGAAGCTTTGCCTTAAAGTCTGTTGAAACATTCATCAGATCATGTGTAGCTTAGATACTCATACATTGATTGGCTTTTAAATGTTTCATGTCATTTTTAATTATCTCATTTGCTCTCTTTAGATAGCATGAGACAATAGAGACCTTGATATTCACCAAACACGCTAGATTCTTTTATATGATAGTGCAGGCTGAAAGAATTCAACCTATCAATTAAGTTTCCTCTTCTTTAACTGTTATATAGGTCTGAGAACTCTGAAATGCATCAAGCCAAAGACAGAGTGAAGCGAGAGCAGCAGTTATTGTACAGAGAAAATGAAAAACTGCTAAAGCAAATCGAACAGCTGCAGAGAGAAATGTAAGGATTTACTATTAATATATCTCAATTAATTATACCATTGACTCTCATTTGTTTTATGTCACCAGAAATGATGTACAATGGAGCCTTTATGTTTTATTGATTTCACAATTTTTTTTAAGCTCATCCTAGATTTGTTTGCTTCATCTAGTGGAAAAGTTATTATACCCCCGCAAACGAAGTTTAGGGGGGTATATTGGAATCACCATGTCCGTCTGTCCGTCTGTCTGTAGACAAGATTTTGTCCGGACCGTTTCTCAAAAACTGTTGGATGGATTTGTCTGAAAATTTATACACTTATTATTCACCATATGAAGGTGTGCACCTGGGATTTTCATCATGATTGGATGATTTTTCTGCATTTTACAGGCGTTTTTTCTTTTTTATTTTGTGATTTTGTTTGGCTCATAACTAGAAAACTATTAGACTTACAATCATCAAACTTGGACAATTTATGCATCTTGGGTAGATGGTGTGTCACGACCTATTTCAAGGTCACTGTGACCTTTAATTTAAGTGATTTTTTTTTAAAAACCAAGTCTTTAAAATTTTAAATTTCATAATCCTAAAAAATGTAGAAATATAGTTGCATCCTTATTAAAAAATGCTAAATAAAGTAAAAACTTATTTTTTATCATATACTTTACAGCAAATTCTATAACAAATGTTAATGATTTGAGAGGAATTCAGTTTGTCCCATGGGCATAATTATCAAGCACTGGTCAAGGAGAATTTTTGATAGCAGAAATGTGCATGTCAAATTAGAGAGAAATTAATGAGTTCATTGTCGGGAGTTAACTGGCAAGAGCAACACTAGATCTAATCTTAATTTATCTCTTGGGAGTTGGGCAAAAAGAAATGGCCTTATAGTTGCTTGTGTTAATTAAGAGTTCTTGATGGCTGTAGTTCAGATAAAGATCTTTCAATTGGTGTAATGTAATTAAAACAAATTGATGTTTTATTGTATGATTAAAACTGATTTAGTATTGTATAATATAATTAAAATTAATTATACATGTGTTCATTGAAAAAAAAAAATTACATTTCAATTTTTTATATATTTGCAACAAATTGCAGTCATGTCTCACTTAGAATTTTATAGTCTAAAGAATAATTATTTTTTGATTTTTTTTATTAGACTGTAGCATTTCCATTATTTCATAAAATATGCAATAAACAATTTAAAGCTGCAGATGGATATTTGTTAAGCTCTTACACAGCCAGTTTAGAATTATATGATGTATTATTTGTTTTAATTAATCCCTACACTGTAAGTCTCTTAGAGATGTATGTACAATATTTTAAACATGATAAGAAATGGAAATTAGATCATTGAAATCTGTGTCAATCTGTTAATCAAGGTTACTTAATTTTCTTGCACCCTAACCAATTTATGATTATCGAACAATATTTGATGGGTGTATCATGCTGTGGCAAGGCACTTTATTAGACAATAGTGAATACCTCTTACTAGATCCATAAAATATTTCTGAATTGGCACCTACTCTGAAAAACCCAGCGGGGGTATTTGTCCCTATTGGACAGTTCTAGTTTGAAATTGATTTGTGGTATCTTTTACACCAATAATGGTTATAATCAATAAGAATGAATAGGTCATATTTTATCCCATCCTTACTAAAAACATGTATAATTCACAGGCAAATCTATGTTAAAACTTTTAAAAATCTGACTCGTCATTGACAAAATCGATTTCTTTTAGATGTGTACAATTTACTCATAAAATAAATCTAGCCATTTTGCAGTTACCTACTTGAAGACATTCTTATTTTATAGCTTAATTAACTACTGATGTGAACTTACTTTAGATTTTCAAAAAGCATCCTTGTTGGTTGAAGAGAAATAGTTTGTTGTCATATAGCAGTCTTGTCAGTTACATGGAAATAATTTGTAGTTGACGATCTGTAGAGCAGTCTTGTCAGTTTAGAATGATACATGTACAATGTATTTATGTTTTTAGTCGAACAAAGGGAGGAGGAAGTGGTGGCTGGCAAAGACAAGCAAATGGGCCACCCCCTCAGAGACAAACCAATGGACCACCCCCTCCCCGGCAGCCTAACGGACCTCCCCCTCCCCAGCACCCCCCACCAGATCAGTATTACGACCAGGGACCACCCCCTCCAAGACAAGGGCTCAACAAGCCTCCACCACCCCCTAACAACCAGTGGAAGGGTGGACCTCCCCCTCATCAAAGACCCATTAACAACAGGGTAAATGTACAGATCATCTAAAGTATCAAAAATTATTTATCTAATAAATTAATTTGATTAAAAATTTGGTGCACTTTGGAATCTTTGATAAACGTATTCCATTGTAGGTGGATCAATTTGTGCCTGGCCCCTCACCTCAGGCAGGGAGGGGTAAACAGTCCACACCTCCCTCTGGTCCCAAACGCCCCCCTCATAGACTTCAAGATCCCATACAAAGACCAGCCAATATGTAAGTTACTACTGAATTTCTAGAATATAGAAGCACTTATTTCTTATCATGTTTGTTGATTAAGTTTGAAGTATTTTGTATACTCTCTATACATTTATTACTGCTATTTTATTTCATCTCAGACCTCCAGAATATATGCAAAATGGAGTGGGTGGTTACCCTGACGACGGGTATATGTCACCACGAGGACGACCTTCACCTCACCTAAACGGACCAATGAGACAAGGTAGATTAATGATTTTATCTTTTTTTTTTACCATTAATTAAAAAACTTTTTTTAAAGTTACCACATGATATAAATATTTTTCACCTGAAGACTTTGGGTATAATGACTAGGTTCCAGCATCAGTTTACTACAGGAACCACAATCTTGGAGAGCTCTACATTTTTCTCCCCGTCACCTCGGTTTACGTCATATGCACAAAATTGGTCGTAGTATGCCAAATTTATCCTCTCGCAATTTACATACAGCAGGAGTTGGATATGAATCTGACTCTGAAAAGCCATATGTTCGTAAAATTCATACAGCTCATGATAGTAAGTCCCTTAGAGAGTGCATGGTAGGATCAAAGTGTGCAGTGTTGAACAATATAGGACATTTTGAACATAGAGTCATTATTAAGTTTCTGTGTTTTTAGGTCAGTCAAAATTTTTTTTTCAATTAGACATAGATTGATAGAAATGTTTCTTTTGAGATCTTTATTTCTAGCAGAATTTATACCAAGGTGAAATTTTTTTTCCCTTTATTTTGTGTTCTCTCTCTGATAACTTTCTGAGTTGTTTCCCTTTTACAATGCTTTAATCCCGCTCTGTTGACATGCAGCTTCCATTAAACATCAAAATGCAGCGGAGTGACAAGGGAGGTAATTCAGCTGCTGCTTAAGAAAATATGTTCATGTCTTATTGACTGTTAAAGGTTTTCAATGGAATATTGAGTTTTATTTTTAGTAGTTGCATGGTATATATGAAGCACTATATTGCAAACATGTTCCACACTTAATGTTATGTAGAAATGCTATTTGGTCATACACTTTTTCCATTTATAGAAGTTGTAAGTGAAGATTTTTCATACACTTTCGAGTAGAACAGTAAAAATGTCACCATGTAGCAGTTCTTCACAGCTTTTTACAAAATTGCAGTGTGAAATAGCTTAATGTACATGTATCTCAATTTGCTACAAATGTGCATTTGAAAATATAAAATTTTATTATGGACAAACTATGCTACCATATTGCATCATGACTTTGGATCTTACATTTGTTTCAATATGTCAAAGAACTCCATGAGTTGCCTGTGTTATTTATAAGCTGTTGTGTGTTTTGCAGTCTTCTATGATGAGGATGATGATGCATTTAGTAGAATTGGTGGGACAGTTTTCTTCTAGTACACATGCACTCAGACACTTTTCAGTTTGGAGTGATTCTTCCAAATTGTGTTGTTTTTGTAGAACACTGCCTTCTTGCATTATATGCACTAAACTTACAGGGACTTGTGGACGAGTCTATAACAGGATGGTCTTGTCATCAAGTACCTGTGACTAAACACACTGTGTTCCAGGGTAAAATTCACAGTGTCTATTATATTCTGCTTTGGTTGAATATTAAATCATTTTTGGACTCTTTTTAATTAAAAAAACAAAATGGTCTCAATAAATTTGATGGAATGTTTCCAGTGCACAATAGTTATCTTTCTGTGTTATATGGTTTTTCACCCCTTTTTTGCCAAGGCAAAAATTTCTGTTCATTTGGTTTTATCTTTTAAAAGTGAGATGAAATCAACTTTTTATAAAGACTTTTCATTAGAAAAATTAGTAGATACTTTGCACAAAAACAAGGATATCTTTTGAGAACACTTTACAAAAATGTGTAATAAAAGTCTCATTTATTTTTATTTTTAATTTTATGATTTAAGAAAAGTGTATTTTCATTACATATTAAGGCTCTTTTTTTTTTTTTGGAGAAATGCACACCATTGTTTATGTGATTGGACTTTTTCAAAGTCTGTTGATGAACAACTTGCAAAGTTTGATTACCAGTAATATAGTAATATTTCAAAAATACAATAAATAGCATTCCTTGGAGATTTAGATTGTGATACATGAAATATGTTTACTAACTGTTTTGTTTACATTTCAGAGTCTCCGGTGCGTTACAACGACAGTCGTCGGGCTTCCCAAGTCTCCACTTCAGGTCAGCTTCCTAAAACACGCTCATTTAACTTACAATGCTTGTCTTATACATTCATCCATATTTTAAACAATATTATATAAATAGAATATTTTGTGCTTTGATTATAAATGTATCACAGAAGAGGTACAGATAATGATGAGTTTTTGTTAAAAGAAAAATATCTGATTCTCTGTTGGATTTCTTTGATGAAAGAAAAGGGCCTGGAAGTTTCCCTGTATGTAATGCATGCATACTTTTAACTTATACCAGGATAAACTCCTAACACACGTTTTTGAATTTTACAGATTCCATACGAAGTATGAATGCGAAATTAAAACAAGAGATTTATGAATTAGAGGGTGAGATTGAACACCACCATCTTGTGAACCAGCGGACTAAGAGTATATACGGCTCGCAGGCCTCCGTACGGTCTGGGCCACGATGACGAAAAAAGTCCACTATTTCTCCCGTGCTTTCTTGATCGATATCAGCCAATGGATCAACATATTTATTGACTGATTAAGTGCATTAACTTGTGTCGTATACCAAAGATAATATCACAAGAGATGTGGATTTTATTAGTTTCTAGATTTTACACCAGATCACTAGATAAATCAAGAGGAGTTTCTGATGTAAAGCATCTGGTAGTCAGTGGATCAAAGGTTGAGGCAAGGCTATGATTGTGACATTGGAGGTTAAAAATAAACTGCGGTTATGAGATGGTCATATTTTACAAGGTGTTGATACCAAATACGATCCACAGAGACTAAGGTTCTCAGGCCTGGTATCACTCTGAGGTGTTGGGAGGCATGTCAGAACACAGCTATGTATAAAGTGAAATATTGGATTCTTGGTGAATGCTGAGGAATGTCCTTTGTATTAACCGTCCTTGTCAAGATGACTTCTGGAAATCCGTCCATTTTAAATTTACATATTTTGACTGAGTTACTGGAATGCCTGTGTAAAGTCTATTTTAGTTGTTGAGTTTTTACATGTTTATCTTTGTTATTATTGTTTACGTTTTTGTATGATTTATTTAATTTTACATACTGTACATAGGTTTCTTTACATATAATGGCCTCACTGTATACTATGTAATTTAATCCACTCCTTCATAGGGTGCTGAAATTTACAGATGTTCTTAGTACCTCGGGTACTTTTATGTAAAATTATTAAGACAGCTGTTCTGAATGTTTGTTAGTACATATTCTAACTGGTCACCAAATACACCATTGTAAATGACCTTGACACATCACTGTACATGACCTTGACCCTCTCACCTTGATTTACAGTATTGTAATAAATTGTTATACTATGTTATTTCCTTTTCACATATTGATGCATGCATGTTTAATATTGGAGAATCCAAACATGTCAATGAATAATTTAAATTATTTTTTTTCATTACCAAGGCCTGAATGTTGCTTAAACATTTACCATTGAATGTGAGAAGAAAGTGTTGACTTGTTTTTTGTCATATTTATTCAGATATCTTAAATTTGAATCATTTGTTTCATGAATTGTTTTATATTTGCTCAGACAATTGAAAATAGGTGCCAGAAAATCTTTTTTTTTTAATTGATTCAATAACATTTTTTTCATGAAAGTAATAAAATATCCAGGATGGGTTAGTAAAGATTTTTAAATAGATGGTATTGCTGATTGTTAAAAAAACAAAACAACTTTATTTCATAAAATAAAATAATATAGTTTTGTCTTTTCACTTTAATATTGCAATTCTTTTCTCCAAAGTTATTTATTTTTTCTTTTTTTACAAAAGTAAAACTCCACTTCCTTACTCTTTGCTTTTCTAGATAATATTTCATATGACATGTTCTTAAAATAGAGAGGGAGGAAATTTATTTCCATATTTGAATGAAACTTGATTAAAATATACTGAAAGAAGTGATGCTTTTCTTTTTTTTTGAAGTTTGCCCCCCCCCCCCTTCAACTGAAGATGCCATATGGTCTTTGATACCCTGTTGTGGAATTCCCCCCCCCCCCAGGTCATAATGTGAACCAATTTAAGGACATGCGCAAGGTACCTTACCTACTGATTATTTTTAAGATATTCTCAATTTATTAAAAATTCAAACCTCAGATGTCCAATGACAAAAAATCAGCATGCATTACCAGGTGTTTTGAGATATGATGAAGATTATTGTATAAAAAACAGAATATACAAGACAAGTAGTAGTGTAGGTTTAAATTTGTGTGTATGTCCATGTAGATGAGGATGTTCTCGTTTAATTATATACAGAAAAAAATACTTATTTCCTATATATTCCACAGTAAAACTTGGTGTCCTGTTGTTGTCCTTACGTCCATGATTTGAACAAAATTGAATCTACATTCTTGCATTTTATTAATACAGGTGTTAAAATTACACTAATTCTTGGTTCCCTTTGAAGAGTTCATGGCCCCATCATATGATCAAACTTAAATTTCCTTTGGCCAAGGATGCTTTGTGGTTTGGTTGAAATTGATCCTTAAAGCCGAAAATTTAAAAAGTTTCTGAACGACACAGATGGACTCCGAACACTTTTCAATCAAGTGAGCTAAAACCTGACAAAAAGCCCAACCCCTAAGTGTCACAACTTAAGTAAACAATCGTAAGATATACAGTAATATATTGGTACATGAATAATATTGATGTTTCAATTGTGCAATTTTTTGTAAATTTTATCCCTAAAGGCAAGGATATTCACCAAGCTCTCTCTCTCTCTCTCAAAATTTCCCTCCAAAAATTACAGTGACAGTAATCAAATCATCTTTGTGCCTTTACAATTCAACAAGCACTGAAAAAACAAATAATAGCAGAAAACTTTTCTTTTTATTTATACATGTAGGAAAGCAATATTGCACAACAAATATCACAGACAAAATTTGTTCATACAATTTTTCAAAAATTATTATTATGCACAAGAACAAGACAAATAATGCATTAAACAGCAACTTTTTGTATATGACTTACTTGTTGATTAACTTGTAATCTGTAATTTGTGCATATGTCTATGATTTACAATATGGTAAGTTGCTTTTAAGTGTAAGAACTTTATTTTCCCATAATTATTTGTGACAGTCTGCTGGGGAAAATTTTCATTCTCACATTAATTCTATTATTAAAGATCATATACAGCAATAACTTAAGTGGAAAATTTTGTTTTTCTCATAAACACCGAACAACAATCTCAGATAATAAGGTGTTCCAAAGATTTAGTGACCAACACTACACTGTATTTGAATTTTCTTTGGTGCTTAACATTTTACATACACTACGTATTGGAATATCAACAAAAATCTTATGATAGATCAAAGGAACAGAAAATTTGGCCCATCAAGTAACATTTCTATATATATTTAAAATAACAATTAAAACAATAAGTCCAAAGGCATTTTAAAGCTTTTAAAATAAAAACTGTAAAAACTAAAATGAAATTTGAAATTTTGATGTTGTAAATGCAAAGCTGATAGGTTTTAAAGGTTGTACAGTGTATTGCGACAATACATAAACATTGTAAAATACTTAATATAAGAAAGCACTTCAAAATTTCTTATTAAGAGTCTGAATAAAATAATGTTTGACTGTTAAGATGTTGATGCTGATATTTCACCATCTCATCTTGTACATATAATATCAACATAAACCTAAAATTGACTGTAGGGGAAACCCCATTCAGGGGATTTTATTCTAGAAAATATCAATTACTTCCTGGAATGTTCTATACGACTTCAACTTTATTATCCTCAGTGATGACAAGGACACCAAAAAATTTGTCCAAATGTCGAGATAACAACATTTCTCCATCTAAGACCAAGTTCCTCAAATAACATAAGACTGAGATCTGTAAATGACACACTCTCTTTGGTTTGTGAGGATATTGTCAGTAGGGGATGTTTTGTTGGTAGAACTGTATCCAGTCGTAAGACTTTGCCCTCCAGCTCAGGAAGCACTCTTTGATGATCCTCTTCATGAACTCTGCCGCCTCGCGCTCTGAGGCCATTGGCTGGAATCTGTCCCTCAGTTGTTTGATGGTCTGTCCTCTGAAACATGGCAGTCCTGTGTCCAGCATCAGAGACACCAGGGTAATGATCGTCTCCTGATAGGGTCTGTAGACAGGTAACAAAGATTAGAAACATTATTTTATCATAATATTGTGTCTGACTCTGCTTTATTTCAAACCTACATGGAAGGATTAAAGATTTAACATGGAGTGGCTTAATATCAAACTGATCTCAGTGTGTCAAATGATTCTAGTACACAACATAATCTGTATCCAAGAAACAATTTGTTTTAGGCCCACAGTTGCTTCAGCTGCTTGAAACAAACAAGAGGCCCATGGGCCACATCGCTCACCTGAGAAGCTTTGACCATTCTGTTCTTTACCAGATTTCACCCTTGTTATACATAATGCATCCCCACCCTACCCCACTGATCATAATTTAGACATTTTGAAATCTACACTATACCCCATGATCCTTCCATGGGCACATATGTTTCAGCTTTTTTGGCCCAGTGGTTCCTGAGAAGAAGATTTTCAAAGATTTTTCCTATATATTTCTATGTAAAACTTTGATTCCCTATAATGGCCCCGCCCTTCCCCCGGGGGTCATGATTCCTACAATTTAGAATTTACACTACCCCAGAATGCTTCCACATAAGCTTCACTTTTTCTGGCCCAGTGGTTCTTGAGAAAAAAATTTTCAAAGATTTTTCCTATATATTTCTATATAAAACTTTGATTCCCCATTGTGGCCCCGCCCTTCCCCCGGGTGTCATTATTTGAACAATTTAGAATCTACATTATACCAGGATGCTTCCACATAAGTTTCAGCTTTTCTGGCCCAGTGGTTCTTGAGAAGAAGATTTTCAAAGATTTTTCCTATATATTTCTATGTAAAACTTTGATACCCCATTGTGGCCCCGCCCTTCCCCTGGGGGTCATGATTTGAACAATTTAGAATCTACACTATACCAGGATGCTTCCACATAAGTTTCAGCTTTTCTGGCCCAGTGGTTCTTGAGAAGAAGGTTTTCAAAGATTTTTCCTATATATTTCTATGTAAAACTTTGATTCCCCATTGTGGCCCCACCCATCCCCCGGGGGTCATTATTTGAACAATTTAGAATCTACATTATACCAGGATGCTTCCACATAAGTTTCAGCTTTTCTGGCCCATTGGTTCTTGAGAAGAAGATTTTCAAAGATTTTTCCTATATATTTCTATGTAAAACTTTGATTCCCCATTGTGGCCCCGCCCTTCCCCCGGGGGTCATGATTTGAACAATTTAGAATCTACACTATACCAGGATGCTTCCATATAAGTTTCAGCTTTACTGGCCCAGAGGTTCTTGAGAAGAAGATTTTCAAAGATTTTTCCTATATATTTCTATATAAAACTTTGATTCCCCATTGTGGCCCCGCCCTACCCCCGGGGGTCATGATTTGAACAATTTAGAATCTACACTTCCCCAGGATGCTTCCACATAAGTTTCAGCTTTACTGGCCCAGTGGTTCTTGAGAAGAAGATTTTTTAATGACCCCACCCTATTTTTGTCTTTTCTTGATTATCTCCCCTTGCAAGGGAATATGTCCCTTCATTTTAGCAATTTAAATTCCCCTTTACCCAAGGATGCTTTGTACCAACTTTGGTCAAAATTGGCCCAGTGGTTCTTGAGAAGAAGTCGAAAATGTGAAAAGTTTACAGACGGACAGACAGACGGACAGACGGACGGACAGCTTAACGGACGGTCAAATGATTCTAGCACAACACGGACAAAATGTGATCAGAAAAGCTCACTTGAGCCTTCGGCTCAGGTGAGCTAAAAAGACAAATTCTAATTGATATTCTGCCCCCCACACAGAGCAGTTGCTATTAGTTGTATTGTTTACCTGACAGCTAGGTAACCCTGGACACAGAGCTCCATGAACCACTGGAACGGAGCAGCTTCCATTGTTCCTCCCATGATGTTTACCATCTCATCTGTCAACTTAAAGTGAGGCTCCCAGCCAAGATTACCTCCAGGGGAACTCTCAAACATAAAGCCAAAATCTGAAAACAGAAACTTAAAATATAGGGCAAATATCTGCAAAACAGAATATCAAAGATAAAGCCAAAATCTGAAAGAGAAACAAAGACTCTAAATCATTAAGCCAAAATCTGAAAACCAACAAAAGATGTATGTAAAACACTTATGCCCCCCTCCCCCAAACAATTGCAATTTTTAAGTTGAAGGGGCATAACTCTGTCCAAAATGGCCAGATCGCACACAAAACCGAACTTGACCTACATATTCTTATGATAAATCTGTATACCAAATTTCATTTCAGTGTGTGCAACCTCTGTGAAGAAAATGAACAGAAACTGCAAATTATTGGAATTTTTTTAAGTCTAAGGGGCATAACTTTGGCCCGATTGTACCCAAAACAGAACTTGACCTAGATATTCTTAAAACATATATACCAAATTTCATTTAAATATGTTTAACCTTTGCGAAGAAAATGAACGGACACTGATGGTGGACCAACGGACAGACAGACCAACGGACAGCCGCAAAGCAATGGGGGGGGGGCATAAAAACAGAAGTGTTCTCCTATATGTACGAGATGGCCTGTATTGTTAATCATTAGATTGTTCCTGTGTCTGTCCTTTAAAGATTTAATTTTTACCTATATGTATGAGATGGCCTGTATTGTTTATCATTAGGTTTCCATTATGACGGTCCTTTATCTGTAGAAGGAACGTCACCAAACTGTAGGCTGCCATGCTGACCACAAAGTTACGACGAGCCTGAAAAGGAAGTCAGTCTTGGTTCAATTTCTGTAATACGTTATGATGCCAAGATTTTGAAATCTCATTTAAGAATTTGTGAACATCCATGTACATGTAGGTTACAAAACTCACAGCTTGGAATTCTGGGGTATCCTCATCTCCGAACGTTTTCTGGAAGTAGTCATACAACGTAATGTCTGTCTTCTTGCCAATTTCATCCCTGGATTTACTATTGGGAACACATTCAATAACACCACACTACAAAGTAAGTAACACTGAACAAAGCTCAAATCTCAATGAAACATGTAAGTATCGATATCCAGTAAACTCGCAACAAGGATGATGTAAGAATTCCTGCATAACATGTTCAGAATAAATTTAAATTTTTGACTTTTCCTTGTTACAGTAATAACGTACCCCTGGTCCAGTGGCAACAACTCTGTATGGCACCAGGTATAACTCCAACCCAGTTTGTTCAAATATATTCTTACACAGAGAAATCACCTGAAGGGCTAACATGTCCTGAAACAGATAAAGGAATCATTTAGTATACCTGTTTTCTATTCCATCATATAAACTCTATAATGAAACATATGGAGATAACAAACATTTTAAGATCAGAAGTCCATAAAACAATACAAAACCGGAGCAGAGCGAACACGGACCTCCAAAACATCAGAGGTGGGATCAGGTGCCATGGAGGAGTAAGCATCCCCTGCTGCCCAGTCACACCCGCAATGTGCTCCTTGTCATGATCACAGAACTTATATAATTATATATATGAGAATTTTGTGTTAGGTTTACCTGTCTAACGTCGTCTCCGACTTTGAAGATGGCTGCCTGCCAGTATTCCAGTGATGTACTAATGGCCGGGTTATCCTCGTCACTCATCCCCAGCATCTCAAGGTCATGAACTCCACAGCGCTTAACACGAAAGCGGGCCAAAAAGGGAGCCTTAGCCGCACTAAAACAATTACAAGTGTTTCATAACACATGATGAAAAGCCTGTTTATTTACAGAAAGTTAAGAACAGAAAATCACAAGTACATATAGAAGCTGGTACCTCTGTAATGGTATGCCGGAGTTCTTGTCAATCTCTGTAACTATTGCCTCTGGGTTTGATGGTAGGTAACACCCTACAATATAAAAAATAATTATAAGGATGAGTTGTGACCATACAGAAAGATAAAACCAGTCATCTTTAACTTGATAATGTTCTTACCCTTCTGTAATTCAATCTTTCTCAGTTCTCGTAAACAAGCATTCCTCCTCTCATCTCCTTTGGGATAGGGTCTACAGCATATATATTGGAAAAATTAGACTGATAAACAAGACTTGCAGCAACTTAAAAACATGTAACATGGAATTGTACACTGATACACAATGTCATGAAACTATAAATTTGAAAGAATTCTATAGCAAATATTGTGGGATTTATGTATCATACATCTATAAAATAAAGTATGGAAAATGTCAAACTATAATTTAAGCACAATCATGTAATATTTACTAGCTGTAGTTGCCCAACAATTTATGTGTATGACCTACTTAATGATGCCTGATATGGCAGTGATTTTTCCAAAGAAATCAAATTCTCTCTCATAAAATTTCCTGGCTGGACCAGAAAAGGATTCTTTCATCTTTTTCATCAGTAGCTCCATTTCTTCTCCAATTTCTTCTGTAGAGATATCATTGTATAGATTTATTGACCCAGAAGCTTGATCACAATACCAGAGTCATTTTAGAATATAATAAGTATTATATTTTACAAAACACAGATTCTCACCATCTTTGATGGTTCCCTCCTCATCCCTGTATACATTAGTCTGCATGTTCCACAGTAACTGATGAGCTAAGAGGGAGGACGTCTTAGCTGCCCACATCACGAAATCAGCCACATAGCCCATCTACAATGTTAAATAATACATCAGCCACATAGCCCATCTACAATGTTATATAATACATCAGCCACATAGCCCATCTACAATGTTATATAATACATCAGCCACATAACCCATCTACAATGTTATATAATACATCAGTCACATACACCATTAAAACATTGCATAAATACATGTATATTAGCCACATATACAATCCTCATAAGTTTAACTATATGAATACATAAGCCTTGCAGCCCATTTACTATAGAAAACAAAGTAAATCAGCCACATAGCCAATCTGGCCACCGAGCTTTGCAGGCCAATATGCCTCAGTCCACTCTACCAAATCCATTACATTTTTTATCCGTAAGTATAACCATTTATTCAAAATCTAAAAATCATTATTCCTAAGAAAATTATTTGTACCTGATGTGTTGCATTTTATAATTTGTATAAGTCTGTTTGTTGGTTACTTACTGTGTCATATCTTAAAGCCTGTACAATCTGTGGGATGTAGAAAAGGAGAGCCTCCTGGGAAAAATTAAACAGTGTCACAGAAAATCCAGAGAAAGCAGTACTTTATCTAAAAATATCCATCAGGTTTGAATCTTTGTTTAAGTAACAGGTACTTACTGGTGGGTGTGACCTGAGAACTCGGACAGCGAACTGGGCTGTGAGGGGGTGCGGGGGGTACTGTCTGGAGAAGTAGGACAGCGCCACACCAGGGGCCACCTGGCTCCACGTCAACACATGACTCAGCTACAAAAGACAAGGGTGTAAGTAATTAACAGAATAAAACAAAACCATCTGACACCACGCTAAAGCATCACTCAGCTACAAAAGAGAACAATAAAAAATTGGTCCAGGAATCTCTACTTTGTACCTATGAAATATTTTATTTTACCATTTACCAAATGCTCCAAACACAGCTCCTACTAAAAGTGACTTTACTAACTACCAGGTATATTACTGTCACACTGGAAGAAAAACATAGACACTTTATACTAAAAAAATATTTGGTTTGCAGCATGAAATGAGGGTGGGTTATCTTGTCTTCTGATTATTTTACCTCTAGTGAGTCTGCCTCTACACTCTTAGCTGTCACTATTCTGATTACCTCTAGTGAGTCGGCCTCTACACTCTGAGCTGACACTATTCTGATTACCTCTGGTGAGTCGGCCTCTACACTCTTAGCTGTCACTATTCTGATTACCTCTAGTGAGTCAGCCTCAACACTCTGAGCTGACACTATTCTGATTACCTCTGGTGAGTCGGCCTCTACACTCTGAGCTGACACTATTCTGATTACCTCTAGTGAGTCAGCCTCAACACTCTGAGCTGTCACTATTCTGATTACCTCTAGTGAGTCAGCCTCAACACTCTGAGCTGACACTATTCTGATTACCTCTGGTGAGTCGGCCTCTACACTCTGAGCTGACACTATTCTGATTACCTCTGGTGAGTCGGCCTCTACACTCTTAGCTGTCACTATTCTGATTACCTCTGGTGAGTCGGCCTCTACACTCTTAGCTGTCACTATTCTGATTACCTCTAGTGAGTCAGCCTCAACACTCAGAGCTGACACTATTCTGATTACCTCTGGTGAGTCGGCCTCTACACTCTGAGCTGACACTATTCTGATTACCTCTGGTGAGTCAACCTCTACACTCTGAGCTGACACTATTCTGATTACCTCTGGTGAGTCGGCCTCTACACTCTGAGCTGACACTATTCTGATTACCTCTGGTGAGTCGGCCTCTACACTCTGAGCTGACACTACTCTGATTACCTCTAGTGAGTCGGCCTCTACACTCTTAGCTGTCACTATTCTGATTACCTCTAGTGAGTCAGCCTCAACACTCTGAGCTGACACTATTCTGATTACCTCTAGTGAGTCGGCCTCTACACTCTTAGCTGTCACTATTCTGATTACCTCTAGTGAGTCAGCCTCAACACTCTGAGCTGACACTATTCTGATTACCTCTAGTGAGTCAGCCTCAACACTCTGAGCTGACACTATTCTGATTACCTCTAGTGAGTCAGCCTCTACACTCTGAGCTGACACTATTCTGATTACCTCTGGTGAGTCGGCCTCTACACTCTTAGCTGTCACTATTCTGATTACCTCTGGTGAGTCGGCCTCTACACTCTTAGCTGTCACTATTCTGATTACCTCTGGTGAGTCGGCCTCTACACTCTGAGCTGACACTATTCTGATTACCTCTGGTGAGTCGGCCTCTACACTCTGAGCTGACACTATTCTGATTACCTCTGGTGAGTCGGCCTCTACACTCTGAGCTGACACTTCTCTGATTACCTCTGGTGAGTCGGCCTCTACACTCTGAGCTGACACTACTCTGATTACCTCTAGTGAGTCGGCCTCTACACTCTGAGCTGACACTTCTCTGATTACCTCTGGTGAGTCGGCCTCTACACTCTGAGCTGACACTATTCTGATTACCTCTGGTGAGTCGGCCTCTACACTCTGAGCTGACACTATTCTGATTACCTCTGGTGAGTCAGCCTCTACACTCTGAGCTGACACTATTCTGATTACCTCTGGTGAGTCAACCTCTACACTCTGAGCTGACACTATTCTGATTACCTCCGGTGAGTCAACCTCTACACTCTGAGCTGACACTATTCTGATTACCTCTAGTGAGTTGGCCTCTACACTCTGAGCTGACACTATTCTGATTACCTCTGGTGAGTCGGCCTCTACACTCTGAGCTGACACCAGGAAGTGGATGGCCTCTGGGATGTGTCTGACGGCCCCAGGGTTCAGTCTGACCAGCCTCATCACCTCCCTCCTCAGGGTCTCAGACGTCTTCAGCCTGTCAATCAGTAGTGGTCAAAAAGTTAGTTAAGTTTCAGAACCCGACTCAGCCAAATGTTCAATCAAGTTTTTCTGATCAAAGAGTACTGGCATGCATCTATCATCTTTTTAACCTTTTTTTCAAAACTACAGGGCAAATTTCAGCCAATGGTATATCCCATACTAGAGAAAAATTGTAGCTCAAAATTAAATAATACAGGTGAGGGTGTGACCTGTGAGGTAAGTAGACGGCTAACACAGGTGAGATGTCCCAGGCAATGCGAGCGTACTCCCTCCATTGTCTCTCGGAGATAGGATTGGTCCTCCACAGAGCCACCTTATCTTCGTCCTTTATCTTGTTCTCGGCCAGCTCTAAAGGGTTGTTCCAGGTACTGAAGGCATCAATCAGATTGGCCTGTGACAAATACAGCACTACTCTTTATACAGTTCAAGTACTTATACATATCTCAATACATGTACTTCCTTACAGTGTGAAGTATTGTGTTGTATTGTGGCACAAGTGTAGTATTCCAACATGTGTGCTGTTTATTTTGAAATGAGTGTAACATTTCTTAACATGCTAGGTGTAGTACTATGACACGAGTGTAGTATTGAGACACAAGTGATGGTTTGAGTCATTAATGAAGAACTGCGACATGTCACTTCCAATATCTATGTACAACTTACACGTGTAGTTCCGTGTGACTCGTCAGGAGTTCTGTGAGGGTGTAATACTGTGAAATGTGTAAAATTGTCAGGTATATATAGTATTGACATGTGCAGTATCTTACTACTTCCTTATACAAGTGTTGTGACATGAGTTTGATAATTTTACATGGTATTTTTTAGCACTGTGACTTACTAAGAGTAGGAGAATAAGGTTCCTCTTTCTAGCATACTCCTTGATATAACTAGCAGCCTGTCCTGGACTCTTCTTGGCACCTGACAACAGACAGAATAAGCTTAAACATGTGTGTGGACTTTACAGTCAACTTTACAGTTTATATTTCATAGGGTATTAAGACCATTGGTACAAAAATCATAAATTGCAGTTTCGTTCCTCTAGTTTAATAAAGACAAGAACAAAGAAACTGGGTTTTATTGTAATAATCGATCAATATTTTTAGGATTTTTTTTACTATATAACCTAGTTTTGTTATTATAATCATTTAAAAAACTGGTTCTTATCCCAAGTAATATCACATCAGAGTTTATAAAACAAATATTCATATACAGATTGTTATATTCAAACAAGCTTAGTAGTAACTACTCTAATGATGTTCAAGCATTGAGGAAAGATAAATATGAAACACAACCATTCACATGATAATGAACTCTGTCAAGATTTACTTTTCCATGAAATTCTTTTAACATTCCAAAACATTTTAGACAAAAAAAAAAAAATCACATGAGACATGCATACAAAGTGTAATGACGATAAAGAACCAGTCGTAATGTACTTGATTCACAGCATCTAATTCACAATCTTATGAGGCTTATCTAAACAATTTGCCACATTAATAAAGTCTCAAATGAAATAATAATATAATAATTATACTAATTTTAATTTTAATAACTGGTCATAAATATTTTTCATTTAGTTGCCAAATAACACTATGGCCATTATATGCACACGTTTACCGTATACAGTGTTATTTTTGCCCTGTGTTATTTTGGCCCTTTTACACTTGCTTAAAAATTTGCCCCATTTTAAATTCGCCCAGTCCCAGTTCTGTTTAAGAATTGATACTGTTTTCTTTGAATTCGCCCCATTTTAAATTTGCCCACTTGTGACAAGGACGAAAAGGGCAAAAATAAAATGGGGCGAAAATTTCCCTGTATACAGTATTCGTTTTAAATTTGCAGCATGGACTTTTCTTTATTATGCAAGTCTCTTTTTTCATCATACCAGACTCTCTAGAAAACAGTAGTAGCAGCAGTATATCACTCTTTCTCATGCAATATAAAAAATCAATTAAAAAAAAAAAGCTTTCTAAAAGACATCAGGGCTAAGAAAAAAATGCAGTAGAGGAACCAAGGCTTTTAAAAAGACAATAATTTAGCTTTCAGATGATAGAATCAGGATATTCCAAGAATTGACCAAATGCATAGATGGACTTACCAATCTGAGATTGACCTTTAAAAAAAGGTCAAGTTAAATTAAAAAAAAAAATAACCTGAACTTCATTTACTTTTATCGTTTGTTTTCTGTTGCACCATTCAGAGCAGAGGAAATTCACTTACCAAAAAAAGTTATTTAAGGTTATAGAAAAAAATTATGAGAACATGAGAAAAATTGTCATTATTCTTACCAGCATTTGAAAAAGGCATAAAAACAATGACAAAATTTTTTTTTCTTTACAAAGTATTGATTTCAATTGATTTGATTGTCATTTTCATATTACATGTAGACCTATATGGAAGCAAGTGTTCCTAAATATCAAATGAGTTGACCAAAAAATATATTTTAATTCAAGTTGACTCATTTCTATCTTTTTAAAACTTTGTAGAATTCATGCAAGAAAGCATGAATTGTGTATCATACATAGAACATAAACCAGTAATACTACCGTATAAACATAAAATGTGGCGGAATTGCACATCCATCAATTCTGCAGCTGGGTCAAACTGTCAACCTACATGATGCAGCATGCATATAGATGCCAACATCTACCACAATAACCCATGCATTTTGTGAAATGACAGACTAGACATATTAGTTTGAAATTTTCCCCTTTTCTATGGTATTACTGTAGATTATTAAATTTTAACAAAATCATTGTTTTCAATTTATACAAACACAAAACGAGTTGAACAATCATTTTACACCAAGACCTTTCTTCATAAAAATAAAATAATTCATCAATTATTACTAAGCATTTTTCTCAAAATTATAAACACCATATAATGATTACGAAAGAAATAATTTTCTCATTACATGTAAAATGGGAATTTTGTGAAAACAATAACTTTCCGCTCAGGTGAGTTTAAAAATTCCGATGATAAGAAAAATCTAATAAAAATTCATAGATTTACACAGAATGATAGTTGATGATTGCTGCATATATAAGGCATAGGAATAAATGATTGCTAGAAAATGATATATATGTCAGTGCTTTAACATACGACGCACGAGTGTGTCCCCAAACACACTGACAAGACCTGCAAGTCAGAGATGGATATCAGTTTGTATTACCGATTAATATACCGTTTTCTTAAGTCTGTATAATTCCACATACCGGTATAACGTATTGACAAAACATGCAGATCAGATGAAAAAAATATTTCTAGAAAATTATAAAAAAGCAATTCTAATGGCTTAAACAATTCTAATTAAAACTGTGAGTTCTACTTCTAAAATAAATAAATATAACACTCCAAGCAGGTATCAGCTAAAATAAGTTAGTTGAAATAAAAACATCGGAGTTTAAATCTCATGCGATGTCAGGTCAGACAGTTTTTCTGACATATCATGACAAAGATCTGGTATCAGACAATCGGACATTACAACTCCGATAAGAGGACACCATTCTTCATTCTGCAATGTGTGCCACAGCTAACTTGAGACATACACATAATTTTAAGTACACTAGAGGATGTAGTCTTCTCAAGTCATTCTTAATGAAATCAAATTGAGACTCCTACAATTTATTCAGTAACAATTCCAATTATCAATGTCATTGTCATTATTATCTAAATCTATGTGCATACAGGATTTTGAAAACAAAACAGACATTTAGGCTGAATAGTTGGCTCCCTGAAAGCTAGTTCACAAAAGGAGCTATCCATTTTCATTTAGAGAATTGTTGTAGGTTAAATGGACAATCTTACAACACATGCAAAAGTGAAATAAATTTTATTTAATATTTCCCCCCCTTGTTCTTTTTCATAGATTTTTCAATGAAACTACAGTTCTAAATCCAAAAAAGGTCATATTACCGATAAATCTCTTTGCTTGGATTAGACAGTCTGAATGTTGACAAGACATACATCCTTAGTGCTATTCTATTGAAAGCTAATAAATTTGTTAATATATACATGTATCTTTTTAAACCATGAGTAAATCCGTATTTTATGTAAGTCAGCATTTTGTGCTCAAGTTAGATTGGCTCCAAACACATATACTTGCCCTCCCCTTGGAGAGTGTTGTACCCCAGGTGAGATTTCTCAATAGGACCATACAGGCCCATAACAAAACTGTTCCTGTGCCTAGCAGGATCTAGGTAAACTACAACAAACTCAAACCATCACTGATTGGTCAAATCAAACAGGAACTGATAGGTCAAATCAAACAGGCACTGATTGGTCAAATCAAACAGGCACTGACTGGTCAAATCAAACAGGAACTGATAGGTCAAATTTAACAGTCACTGATTGGCCAAATCAAATAGGCACTAGTTGGTCATATTAAAACTGGAAATATCTAATAAATCTAAAAGTTCTACGGTAAACCTAAACTTATCAAATGCTGGACTAAAAGATCTAAAAATCATGCTTCTGATTCACTGGAATCATAGTGTTTTAAAGTGTTCCAAAATAATTGTGTATTTCAATTGGAATGACCACATCAATAGTTAACAAGAAAATCACTTGTTGTTAATTCCTGGAGCATAAAATAATTAACTTTCAAAAATATTTTTCTGTGTATGGAGTATAAATAATGTTTATTTAAAAGAAATTTTAACACATGTATTTTTCTACATTAATTAATACAACATACATATACATGTATACTACCCTGAAATCACAAAATAAGGTTGTTATGCAGGGGAAATAACTAAGGGGCACCTGGCAACTTACTGGCAGATCTCTTAGAGTTGGTAGACATCCCAGAATTCAGTGTCAGATTGATCCACTTCCCCTGTAAGAGGTCTGAGGGGATTCCCCCAGACTGGGATAGCCCCAGGGAGTCCTGTCTCTGTGTCTCATCTGGAACAGCTGTAATATACAAATGTCAAGTATAAATTAAAATACTATAAAATCACACATTTTCGTGAGGTCGAATTTTCAAGTTTTGAGAAAGAAATATTGATTTGTGGGGATTTGATTTCATGGTTTGAGAAGTGTTGAGTAGTAATGCATTTGAAATTTTACATCTCGTGGTGGTCATGTATTTGATGGTCTCTCTATACCTCGAAAACAACGAAAATTAACCCCCTAGAAAACATGATGAATGTAAATAGAGACATTTTAAGTCTCTAAGACTAAAAATCTGAAATGATCATTGAAATAAAATCTTGTACAATATTGTTCAAAATAAACCCCACCTCTGTTACTTTTGTTTCTATTGTAAATTTCACAGCTAAGGAACGTTATAGATGAATGTTTGTCTACATTTAACATGTACATGTACCTATTATCCCTATATGATCATATTTTATCTAAAGAGTTGCACATGCAAATGCATATGAAACTCGCCTTGGTATAAAGTTTTATCCCTGGTAGTTAAGGTCCCTGTATCTTTGTCTACAAGAATATGTACTTACCTCCAAATGGCACTGCTTTGCTTACAGTGATGTACTTTTTGTCAGTAAATAACAGCCTCCAGAATTTGATCATATTGTTGATGTCCTCCCTCAGTTCTGACCCACGCTGGGAGGGGTACATCAAGGGGCCACTGGTAAAATAAAATAATTCACTATGATAAATCTGGGAGGGGCACATCAAGGGACCTCTGGTAATATAAATCACTATGATAAATCTGGGAGGGGTACATAAAGGGGCCTCTGGAAAAATAAAGCACTATGATAAATCTGGGAGGGGTACATAAAGGGGCCTCTGGTAAAATAAAGTACTATGATAAATCAGATAAGGGTACATTAAGGGCATTTGGTAAAATAAATGTGATAGACCTGGGTGGGATACACCTAGGGGACCTTGGTTAAATAAACAAGTGAAATTTGAAAAAAAAATTCAGCAATCAAATTTCAAATCTGAGACTGCTGCTCTTTATAAAGCAAAAACAACTTGTTTAAATACATGTATTTGAAATCTGTAGGCCTCAATGTGTCTCTGACTTGTAACTTACGCAAAGTAGTCGAGTGCTGCAGCGTATATCCTTTCTCTGAGGACACTCTTACTGGTGTTGTTAGGGAGGTAGGATCCCTGTAACAGCTGTAGACCCATACTCAGGAGTCTGTGGGGAAACAAACAAAAAGAAAAACATAAAATTATATATCATATAACTGAACTTTGGTATATCTAACACTAATACATGTACCAGGGAGCATCTCAAATACCAGGATGATCCATATGTCAAAGTCAATTGAAAGTCCCACTAGTCTTATTTTTAAAGTATTTAACCCTTGATATATCTTGGAGATGGCAGAGTTTGGTTAATACAGCCAATGAGTGTTGGGACACTTTTCAAAATAACACCTGTTTAACTTACCTGAGCCTGGACCAGATGACCTCTGGGTGCTGTGACATGGGGGGGGGGGGGTTTCCTCCCCACACTGATGGACAGGGACTAACACCTGTTTAACTTACCTGAGTCTGGGCCCAATGATCTCAGGGTGGTAAGACATGGATGGGGTCTCCTCCCCACACTGATGGACAGGGACTAACACCTGTTTAACTTACCTGAGCTTGGGTCCTATGACCTCTGGGTGGTGGAACATGGGTGGGGGTCTCCTCCCCACACTGATGGACAGGGACTTACACCTGTTTAACTTACCTGAGTCTGGGCCCTATGACCTCTGGGTGGCGTGACATGGGCGGGGGTCTCCTCCCCACACTGATGGACAGGGACTTACTGAGGAGACCGGAGAGGATGCTGACCTGATCCTCACTGCTGTAGCGGGCCACCTCCACCCGCTCTGCCAAAAACTACAATAAAAAGTGTGTCAAAGATGAAAGACTGTGTATTGTTATCTTATAAATTTTGTTTTACAGAATTATCACTGCACAAACCTGTCATTCAAACTGTTGTACAATTTTTTCTAAGAATTTTAGTATACCTTCTAATTAAGATTTTACACCACAGACAATGCTGACATATACAGGTAAACTTCGGTATCTCGACATCGGATATGTCGACAACCTGGGATATGTGCCACGGTCCGCGGTCCCGGCATTATTTACTATATAAATGATTTGCAAAAACTCTGATATATCGACCTCGGTAATGTCGACTACCCCGCTTATCTCGACGTATTTCACAGTCCCAAGAGCAAAATTTACCTGGTATATGTCGACATCGGTGCAACTCTACTTAACCTAATTGTTTGTCAGCTGGTCGCTCGTCACACGGAGACTCCGTGTAACTCGATGTATCAGAAATTCACACCTTTCACACCCATGTTTTGACTACATATTGCTCTGAACAAAATTTGTTGGTAGAGGAATCCCAAGCCCCTTCGGCATCTCTAATACGTTAATTGTTTAATGTTCAGCTTGGGTAATTATCATTGGTTAATCTTCTCAATTCTGCGTAAATGTACAACCGTTTATTTGTGTCGAAATCTAACAAAACTTAAACATTTTGTAAAAAAAAATAATAACTGAATAACAATGAACAATATACACAATGAATTCAGTTTAACTTAAAAATTTTGGTAAAAATGCATTCAACATGAATCAATCAAACTTACGACATGCACGACCATTGCATCAGCCGTAATATGGATGCATATGTAACATCATTAAGTTTGTTAAATGCCCAATTCCAATTAAATTTTGGTTTGAAAATGAAATGAAAATTAATGATGAATAATTCTGAAATAAAAAAGAAGTGAAATGAAATAATTTAAAAAATATACGCATTAATTTTTTCTGTATCTCGGAAGTCGACTTTGTACCGTTCTGGTTTGGAGTTTATAAAGCGCATTTCGTATCCTGTTCTGACAGAGATAATGGCACGCGGATTGAATGCTGGATGGAAAACGGTTTTTAGTGAAATGAGATTTCGATAAAAAAGAAAGCATTTCATAAATAACATTTGTGAATAACTTCTTAGATTTTCTAATAAATACAGAGGGATAGCTGAAACAAACGAGCTACAGTCTAATTGAAGACATGTAGGTACCTGTAGTTACACGTCTGTTCGGTTTTACTATGCAGTAAAATTAAGGACGTCGAGTCTCAACTCTGATATCTGGACACCTCGGATATCTCGACATTTTCCGACTGTCCCTTCGATGTCGAGATAACGAAGTTTACCTGTATCATGGCTATTTACCTTGGTCCAAATGTGATGAGGTTTGCCAAAAGGAGGATCAGGACCTAGAACATCATTTTCTGCTTTGGCGAGGGGATCTGGTCTTCTCTTGTCCTCCTCAAATATCCCCATCTTACTGTCTACAGTACACTGCCAGGCGGCTGCCATCTCACACAGAAACTGTATCAGTAAATGTCCACTTAGAGTGTTTAACATATATGTACAAGAGGATACTAACACCATCTTCACTAGCCAAGTGTCTGATCTGTAATCAAAATCTTGGCTAGCAAAGATGTACAAACACATGTACACTTATCCTCTATAAATGAAACATTCATCTTACTGCAGATTTGAACATTCTTCACTCTAATTTTGTCTGTCTTGAATATATATTGATTTACCTCAATACTTGAACCAGGTCGCGCTGCAAGAAGCCATTCCCAGCATGCAACACCTGCCTCCATTGTTTTAATGGAAAAGTTGCGAACCGGTGCCCAGCAAAGAGCATGTAACAACTGCTTGTTTATTTCTATGTAAGAGATAATCATAAATATCTTCTAAACTTGATTTGTCCATAAAATTCCTGCCTACAAGTCTCGTATACTGTATACTTTATTGGTGATCAAAGTTGAAAATGTTTCCCTCAATGATGTCGCTCATAATTAACTACTTTCATCCTAATTACCTGGTAATTACTATATGTTTTGTAAAACAGGCTCACCTGGTATGCTGACAAGGAAGGCACAGATTCTAAACATGGCTGGTATGATCTTCTCATCCTCTGAAAATACACACTTATTACGATTGATGTAAAAGAGTAATGATTCAAGAGATGTCATGTAATATTTGCATATAGATGCATTTTTCAGGGGGGTAATAATAGTTCTAACTGAAAATTATAAAATACATATATAGAAAAATATTCAACATTTTTTTTAAAAGACCATTTTAAAGTACAATTGCAACTTTTTAATACCTAGAAATCCAGTAAATTTAGTGATATTAAACATTACCTTTACTCTTCAGTGACGACTCCAGTTTTTCATACAGTAAGCTAGAGAGCTCCTGATCAGAACAAAGAGACTTCATCCCAGACACCTACAAGTCAGGTTATTAGGAATATCAACAAATAGTGGACTATTCGACTGTCAGTCGAAAGGACTGATGCTCGAATAATGAAACAACATTCAAATATTAAATAAATGCAAGAAAAGGGGTGACAATGAAATTTTCATCTCAAAATTGAAATTCAAACTATACAGCTGTATAGTGTACATCCTCAGAAGAATAAGAGCTCAAACACAGTCACCGTATATAAATCAAATTAATAATTTTCAACATTGTACATATGGAAAATACAGTAATTAAAAACCGCAATAATTATTGCTCAATCACGGCCTTTTTTGTTATTGTACGTAGTAAATTATGCAACACTTACTGGACTATGAAAATTATTTAATTGGCTTGTTTCAATTACATGTACATTTCTAAACTCTAAGAATTTCAAACGCTTAGGAACAAACAATATATGCATGGCCGTAAAGTTTTAAAGTTCGATAATTATTAAAACAATAATCTTACATAAAAGAGATTTTGATATAATTGTAGCTTGGGCAATCATTAGTTGAACTAACAGTATTTAACATTTCATTGGAGGTGTGGATAGTGTGTGTTTACTTTGCAATTCCCCATTTCCAATTATTTAAATTTTCCAATTTATTTTAATTTGCTTTCAAAAACATTGTGCTAAAAAAAAATAAATGCTCCAAATAGTTGACTATCGTTCGAATAATGCAATCGAATGTTCGACTAAGGAAAATTAATATTTTGACATCCCTACAGGTTATAAATGTTAAATTACATCAAAGTGTCCCCTGTTATAACTTCTATACCTACAGGTATCTGGCAGTGCTTTACATTTTCATTTACAGAAATAAAATGAAATTTAATTTACATCACCGTTTCAAAATGTACTATAGACAATTTTGATAACATACTGAGGATAAGACAGCCTTCATAGCATGATTTACCTCCCCTGTGTATCTGCTTCTCAGGCTGAAGTTGACCATGAAGCTGGAGCTATCAGTTGTCACACACGTAGGTCTTCTGTCTAAAGTCGCCATCTAAAAGTACACATGTAGGTACATGTACATGTGTAAGGTAGAATATTGTAAACTTGTTAATCTTTTTATTCATATGTATATGTATGTGAGACCCTTTCCTTGCAAAAATTGCTTTCTCAGATAAGCAACTTTGCACTGGCCCCTATTAGCCACAAATACCATTTTTTTAATCTTCAAAGGTTCTGCAAACCAGGAGAAGAAGAAGTTTCCATGGAAATGACAGATTTAAGTACTGATGTATTTACCCCGAGTGGTTTAGATGTGGTGTTGTATCCTGCGAAGCTAAGAACACTCTGAGTGGCCAGGGCCAAGCCGCTGTGCTGGAACAGTCCCTGGGTGGTGTTGTCCATCTTCAGGAGGTACTCGATCAGGTGTGACCGGGTCGTGTTGGGGGCCCACTTCATGGCCTCCTGTAGGATCTGCTGGCTCCGGGCTGCAAAGTCCTTCACCGTGTTCTGTTTAATGATAACAGTGTATATAAGCTAGGTCTGACAATAATTCAGAACAACTGTACAACAGAATATTTACAGTAAATAATACTGAAGAGCATAAAAATCCTTGACCGAATAAAGCACTACTGGTATATATTTCAGTACATGTGTATTATCTTTAACATGTATCTCTTTTAGAGAAATATTTTTTTACCATAAAGAGCAGACAAGTTGAAAACCTCTGAAATCAATTCTAATACAATGCAAGGTAAACATCCATATACAATGTACATGTACACAATACATGGTAAACATATAATGTACTTGTAGCTGATATTTTATTAAGAACCCCACTAACCTCCCTGTCCGCCATGTTGTCCTGTACCCTCAGGGTGAAGGGTGTGTCTGGTACTGCAAACTCTGGAGCCTCCTGGTTAGGGTCCTGGACAAGAAATAACATCAGTAAATGTATAGGTCAGTAGCCAATCTATTGTTGATCTTGTAAAAAATCAGAGAAATAAAACTTACTATCTGTAGAGAACTGGAAAGCAGTTGTATCAAATCCAGCATAGTTTTCAGCATTGCACCACTCCACAAAATGTGTGGGAATCTGAATAATTCAGGAGAAAATCATTATTGAAGTTTACCCCAATCAAATAGGTAATGACACCATTTTCAAACAGAGGAGAATATTCTGGAAACTTTAAACCTGAGATGTAATATAAGGCGGCTATTACAACTGACCTTTCTACCATGTTGGTGAGGTATCGGTCAGCCACTCGTCTGATCCGTTTATGGATGTGGTTAAAACACACCAGGAGAAACTGGGCATGGCTCTCTAACTCTGCATCACGAGCTTCAGTCCTTGGCTGAATACAGAAAATTACAGAAGTTTTAAATGAGTAAATGTTATACCTGTAATTAATACAGTCTCAACAAATATTAATTGAATAAAAGATACAGTCATGTAATGAAAAATGTCTCACAAACATTTACAAGAATAATCTAGATATAAATATTTTTTAAAGTGCTTCAACATTATTCCTGGCTGTCCAATATGTTACAAACTGTTTTTAGCAGTTAATGTATATCTAAACATACCAAACAATTTTTAATTATCTCATTAAATGGAACAATACATTCATGTGCAGCATATGTGCCTGTCAATGAAATCATAGGCATTTACAAACACACATAAAAAAATAAAATATATAACATATATTACTTTTTGGTCTGTGACATCCAGATATTTTTCAAAAGCCTTGTCTGCTACAGCACTCACACACTGCCACATTCCTGTGTAAATATAAAGTTACAACTGTATCTAACAGGAATACCGAGCTAATACACATCATGCCTGGGGGCCATAAAACTTAGACGAGCTCCCTTTTGATCTCAGTCTTACTTTTCCACTATATATTCCTTTGGAAAAAGTGAGACTGAGATCAAAAGTGAGCTCATCTAAGTTTTATGGCCCCCAGGCCTGGCATCTTATTGGCAATTACATGTGAGTGCAGATACTTGCGTCTCATTTAAATAAAATTTATTTCTATTTAGGCCTAAAAAAAATAATAGCTTGGTTCTCAGGCCTGCCCGCAATTCATTCAACAATGTGCATTACCCATTTTTTTCCTCAAATGAATAAAATAAAATTTCTCTGATGCGCTCGTACGTTGCCAAAAAAAAAAAATCCGGAATTTCTGACTGCATTTTGACTGCACTGTAGAAATCAGTAAAATGTTCGACAAACATCAAGATGATCCAGACTTTTGGCCAAGTTAAAATCGCAAATATGGCCGTCAAGTAAACAGAATAAGGCGCCAAGATTAAGTTAAGTTATGATGGCATTGATTTCACTGCAAATTCATGAGGGAATGTACTTCCACGGTACAAAGTGCAGGTTTCTGAAGGTTTTTCCATGCTAGAACTCAATCAAAGACGGCTCCCTCAACCTCAGAACTCACACATCAGCATTGCTCAAGATTCGCAGATTTCATTTAGTGTGGGTAAACCACAGACTGATGAATTTGACAATGTTTAATAAAATCATAAGTGCTATTTATAGTGCTGAAACACTTAGATTAGTTGTATTACGTAAGCAATTGACCAAATGCATCACCAAAAGTGTTGGATTCTGTAAGTTTAAGACGTCTCGTTTTAAGGATGCCATTGTTTCATTACACAAATCATCGGATGCAAGAGAAAAGAGAAAGAAGCAGGAAATAAATTATTTTGATTTCTACATGGGATGTTGAAGCAATGTTGATTAAAAATTTAGTTTTGAAATTATTAAATCTTAAAAAATTAAAAATCCCGCATCTATTTTTCATGCCTCCCTCCCGCATCTATTATTGAGAAAACTGGCCTGAGAACCAAGTTATCAATTTTTTTTTTTTTGCCTTAGTATACCAAATCTTGTTTTGTAACAACTACATAGTACTTCAATTCAGTCAAGAGACATGAAATAAAAAATTCTGTATTAATCTAAGTATCAATTAATTAAGACTGTCCATACATGCCAACTTTTGAAAATTCCCATGGGGGATTTAGCGCGTGATGACAATTTTCAATTGAAAGCTTTAAATTCGCGACATTTTGTCGTGAAATTACATGATTATATGAAATGATCTTTTTTAAATTTATAATATTGATATCACTTATCAATACAAGAGGCCCATGGGCCACATCGCTCACCTGAGCACTGTGGCTAGGAAAAAGCAGAATTGGTTTATACTTGAAAAGCTTAAGGGCCGAGGTTTTCAGCCGTACGGTTTTCCTCAGGTAAGTTTGGTGTGGGGTGGAGCTTAATCGAAGCAGCTGAGAAGCCCTGAGGGATCGACGCTGACTTGTGTATACTACCTATATACAAAGGATGTTACCTGAGTGTATTACCTGTATGCGTTTTCCTGCGACATTGTAAAACGAAGCCATTTTTTTCATGTGTAGCTCAATTGAAATGCATGAAATAAAGCATTTATTGCGGACAGAATCCTTCTAAAATTCTTTCTTTTAAAATTGATATTTTAAATAATTCGACAATTTCAATATACTGCATGTTTGTTACTCAAACGTTATAACGGAAATTCATGTAGCACAAAAATCTGTCGTATATAATCTGGCGACAAAAAGGGAAGTAATTCAAATTACACGTCATGTACGAAATTATAAAATATAGGCATTATTTTTTTTTTTTTTTACATTTATTTAATTATTTGATGGATTAATTATACTTATGCCATATTCTTATGAATTAAACAAGAACGCTTTGCCTGCTTCTTTATCACGTTGGCAATTATGCGGTAGGCATCAAAAGCCTGAATGTCGGTACGATCTTCAGACAAGGTACACAAGATATATACACAACGGCAGCAAACTAAAAGTCAATCAAATCAAAGTATCCAATCCCAGGCTTAATTTCAGATGATTGACAGGGGTTCTAAGACTAGGTAAATTTGAGGGAGGTGCTTATTTCCTCCCCCTTTAAATCCAAAAGTAGTCCCATGACCAATCATGGCTTTGCTATTCTTGAGAAGAAGATTTTTAAAGAATTTTCCTATACATTTCTATGTAAAACTTTGGTCGGCCATTTTGGCGCCGCCCTACCCCTGGGGGTCATGATTTGAACAAACTTGAATCTACAATACCTGAGGATGCTTCCATAATTATATAAATATGATCAATTATGGCTTTGTTATTCTTGAGAAGAAGTTTTTTAAAGAATTTTCCTATATATTTCTATGTAAAACTTTGGTCGGCCATTTTGGCGCCGCCCTACCCCGGGGGGTCATGATTTGAACAAACTTGAATCTACACTACCTGAGGATGCTTCCATATAAATATGATCAATTATGGCTTTGCTATTCTGGAGAAGAAGATTTTTAAAGAATTTTCCTATACATTTCTATGTAAAACTTTGGTCGGCCATTTTGGCGCCGCCCTACCCCTGGGGGTCATGATTTGAACAAACTTGAATCAACTCTACCTGAGGATGCTTCCATATAAATATGATCAATTATGGCTTTGTTATTCTTGAGAAGAAGATTTTTTAAGAATTTTCCTATATACCGGTATTTCTATGTAAAACTTTGGTCGGCCATTTTGGCCCCGCCCTACCCCCGGGGGTCATAATTTGAACAAACTTGAATCTACACTACCTGAGGATGCTTCCATATAAATATGATCAATTATGGCTTTGTTATTCTTGAGAAGAAGATTTTTTAAGAATTTTCCTATTTATTTCTATGTAAAACTTTGGTCGGCCATTTTGGCCCCGCCCTACCCCTGGGGGTTATGATTTGAACAAATTTGAATCTACACTACCTGAGGATGCTTCCATATAAATATGATCAATTATGGCTTTGTTATTTTTAGAAGAAGATTTTTAAAGAATTTTCCTATATATTTTACGTAAAACTTTGGTCGGCCATTGTGGCCCCGCCCTACCCCCGGGGGACATGATTTGAACAAACTTGAATCTACACTACCTGAAGATGTTTCCCCATAAGTTACATCTTTCCTGGCACAGTGGTTCTTGAGAAGAAGATTTTTAAAACATACAACCAAATTTTCACTAATTCTCAATTATCTCCCCTTGAATGAGGGCGTGGCCCTTCATTTGAACAAACTTGAATCCCCTTCACCCAAGGATGCTTTGTGGCAAGTTTGGTTGAAATTGGTCCAGCGGTTCTTGAGAAGAAGTCGAAAATGTGAAAAGTTTACGGACAGACAAACAGACGGACAGACAGACAGACGGACGCCGGACAAAATGTGATCAGAAAAGCTCACTTGAGCCTTCGGCTCAGGTGAGCTAACAACTTAGAAATTAATTCAACCCAAAAAATAAAGTTTTTCTTTCCAAAATTGAAATATTTTTGCTAAAATAGGTGCCTCTCTCACTAAAGAAGGGGTATTTAGTAACAAATATAAACATTTTTTTTCTGCCAGGACACATAATTTAGTGAAAAATTGAAAAATGTACAACTTTTAAATCATTTTTTTCAATGGCTAAAAAAAATATGAGGTTTTGATACTGTAAAGTCCTGTTTCTGGAAACATTTTTGAGATTTTTTATTTATATTTCAATTAATTAGAATTTCTAATAAGATATTAAATTTACAGAAATTTATACCACCAATCTAAAAGAGAATTATTTTTTTACAGTCATGAAATTTGTCAGTCTTGATGGTGTCATGTGGGTATTTCCTTAAGACATGCACATACCTAACACATTACTTTTGGAAGAAGGGAGGGAAAAGAAATTCTAATTGACATACATGTACACTTGATTGTTTCATCTTAATTTTTTCATAATATTTTAACTGGCAAACTTTACAATATTTTTCAATAAGAAGATAAAATCAGTAGCTATGCGTTGTAGCTTTCTACTTTCGTTTTCAAAAAACGATCTCTTTGGATTATGATTTTATGGTCTGATTATAGTATTTCATTCTTTAATTTATGTTTTTAATAAAATGACTAATAGTTATCACGTTAGTCTATGTGTTTCACCTTGCATACCCCTTAAAACTGACAAGATAAGCCCCAAGCTATAAGCTTCTGAAGTACCTGAACAACTGCGTGCGTTCAAGCGTGAAGTGATTTCCTGTGGTTAGGCCTAATTAACACCTGGTTAAATATCTGTGTGCATTGAATAAACAAGTCTGACATTGTTACCCCGATTGTCAAAATTCAGCAGTAGGGAAACTTTTATAATATGAAATTTTAAGGTGATTTTTTTCAAATCGGGAAATTAGGGCAATTTTTCTTTCCCGATCGGGGAGGCGGGATGAAAGAGTAAAATCGGGAGAATCCCGCCTAAATCGGGAAAGTTGGCATGTATGACTGTCTGTGGAAGTTTATTATGTTGTTTTATATTGTTTTACAGTTTTTAAGCCCCTGTAATCAAATATTCAGGGGGCATATAATTTTTGCCCTCTCCATCTCAGGCATCTGTCTGCCTGTTTACAGGTATCTGTTTTTCATCAGATACTTTAACCTTGCCAACAACTTCTGACTGGTTGTAGCTATCGCTTTTATACTTCACAGATGTTTTTCCTGAGCAAAGACCTTTCTTGGGGTATGAACATGTTTGACCTATTGCAGCCATGATAATATTATGGTAAGCTTAAACTTACAAATGAGATGAAACAATAAGACTAAGTTTAGGTTTCCCTGTTAAAACAGACAACTTACCAGCTTTATCTTTATACAGTGTAGGATCCTCTAGATAGGCAAACAGTCCATGAACAGCTGATCTCTCTGTAGAATGTTGAAGTCTGAAGAATACGTCAAAATCAGTTCTGACAATGTGTTACAATACAGCAGTGACTCTAGTATAAGCAGACACAACAGTAGATACCTGAGGGTTTCCAGTTTGAACACGGAAAGTAGATAGGTACACTGGGCAAACGAGAGGTTCATCACCAGCTTGTAGATGTCAGAGCTCTCCAGCAGGGAAGAGATTGTCGTCCTTAGCTCGTTCAGCTCCGCCTGTAAAACCAGAGGTCAATCTCAAGATTTATTGACTTATTTCATACATGTATGATCAAAATATTATGCTGGAAAATTATTAATTTATATTTTTATAAGAAATGCTATCATAATGATACAATTTATTTTATATGAATTTATTTGAAACCTGCGGCGATTAAATTTTTTAAATCCTTTTTTTTAGTTCTGTAGTTTAAACCTTACAAAGCAGTAACATTGCCCTCTATGTCCAACAATGATACAGTAATCTCAGCATGTCAGTATCAGTGTCCTTGACATACTTTCAAAAAGATTTATCCGAACCAATATAGATCTAATGTTAATACCCTTCACTTACTGCCCCCCCCAGTCTTATCTAACCTTGAATTAACATTACACTTTTGTCAGTATGAGCTAAATGTCCGTGTCCTTGACTCACCGGTCCCACAGTGTCATCACGGAGAGCAACACTGTACTGTAGTTCAGATCTCAGGTGTTCCTTAGAAATCAGCAATGGTGACTTGGCGGCAATCTCACACACCCCATCATACCACTCTCTGGGCCAGATCACTAAAAGTCAAAAGATAGCAACGTGTTTACAAGTTTGATCTACATTTAGATGCTAAATTCTAAATAAATTCCATTTTTATTATACTTCAAACTGTACCCTAACTTAAATATTTTAAATTTTACAAATTACCTTTCAAGAAGATTCATAAAACACATAGATACTTTTTGTTTTTAATAAAGTAAAACTCTTTATCTTCCTCACCAGAATCTTCTACAGTGAAGCCAAACACAACACAATACTGCCAGAAGTCTCGGAATAACTTTAACAGGCGGGACTTTGGATCCTTAATCACTGGGAGTCTTCGAATTAACTACACAACAATATGTAATCAGAGTCATATAGTGCATATAATCATCAGCAATCTTCTAATACATTGTAAAGTTGTCTATTTCAGCAGTATTTCATATTCTAGTGTCTTTACTCTGTACCTTGTCCCTTAATTCAGGCTACATGCTAAAATGATTAAATCCAATGAAGCTTGCCCCTAAATATGCTAATTTTCATTTAGCTAATAAAAATATAATGAGGCTTAATTTTGAGTGTGCTATATCATATTAGAGTAAGCAAATCTGTAAATTATATCTTGAAATGTTTTAGATAATGCATTATAAAGCTAGAATATTTCCTTAAAGCTGAACTTACAACTCTAATGACAGGTATCAAAACTCCAAGGTTCCCTGCTGTTCCTGAGGCCTGTACATAAAGGAGAACAACAGAAAAGAATTAAAAAAATTTACACTGCCCAAGCTGTTTCAAAAATACTTCAAGCGAAAATTATTTGCGTGCTTTCTTGAAGAATTTTACCTCATCCTATTTTTAAATCTGTATTTTGGAAATAAAATCACTGTAATAGCTGTTGTATACATTCCTCATTACTGACAGAGAATATTTTTATTCTGTCACTATCCTTACAACACTTCGTCCAATTTTCTCTTGTATCTACTATTCTTAGTTTGCATCAGGTTCACCTTCATGGCTCCCAAGCTTTTTTATTTTAGCTACTACTCTCCATTTATATCAGACTCACCTTCATGGCTCCCAAGCTTTTTTATTTTAGCTACTACTCTCCATTTATATCAAACTGACCTTCACGGCCTCTGAGCTTTTTTTTTCTATTTTATCTATTATTGTCAGTATATATCAGACTGACCTTCATGGCCTCTGAGCTTTTTTTTCTCTATTTTATCTATTATTGTCTGTTTATATCAGACTGACCTTCATGGCCCCTGACCTTTTTTTTTTCTATATTATCTATTATTGTCAGTTTATATCAGACTGATCTTCATGGCCCCTGAGCTTTTTTCTTTCTATTTTATCTATTATTGTCAGTTTATATCAGACTGATCTTCATGGCCCCTGAGCTTTTTCTTTCTATTTTATCTATTATTGTCAGTTTATATCAGACTGATCTTCATGGCCCCTGAGCTTTTTTTTTCTATTTTATCTATTATTGTCTGTTTATATCAGACTGACCTTCATGGCCCCTGAGCTTTTTCTTTCTATTTTATCTATTATTGTCAGTTTATATCAGACTGATCTTCATGGCCCCTGAGCTTTTTTTTTCTATTTTATCTATTATTGTCTGTTTATATCAGACTGACCTTCATGGCCCCTGAGCTTTTTCTTTCTATTTTATCTATTATTGTCAGTTTATATCAGACTGATCTTCATGGCCCCTGAGCTTTTTCTTTCTATTTTATCTATTATTGTCAGTTTATATCAGACTGATCTTCATGGCCCCTGAGCTTTTTTTTTCTATTTTATCTATTATTGTCAGTTTATATCAGACTGATCTTCATGGCCCCTGACCTTTTTTTTTCTATATTATCTATTATTGTCAGTTTATATCAGACTGACCTTCATGGCCCCTGACCTTTTTTTTTCTATATTATCTATTATTGTCAGTTTATATCAGACTGACCTTCATGGCCCCTGACCTTTTTTTCCAATTTTATCTAGTTATTGTCTGTTTATATCAGACTGCCCTTCATGGCCCCTGAGCTTTTTTTTCAATTTTATCTATTACTGTCTGTTTATATCAGATTGACCTTCATGGCCCCTGAGCTTTTTTTTTCTATTTTATCTATTATTGTCAGTTTATATCAGACTGATCTTCATGGCCCCTGAGCTTTTTTTTCTCTATTTTATCTATTATTGTCTGTTTATATCAGACTGACCTTCATGGCCCCTGACCTTTTTTTTTCTATATTATCTATTATTGTCAGTTTATATCAGACTGACCTTCATGGCCCCTGACCTTTTTTTCCAATTTTATCTAGTTATTGTCTGTTTATATCAGACTGCCCTTCATGGCCCCTGAGCTTTTTTTTCTATTTTATCTATTACTGTCTGTTTATATCAGATTGACCTTCATGGCCCCTGAGCTTTTTTTTTCTATTTTATCTACTATTGTCAGTTTATATCAGACTGCCCTTCATGGCCCCTGAGCTTCTTTTTTTCCAATTTTATCTATTATTGTCTGTTTATATCAGACTGCCCTTCATGGCCCCTGAGCTTCTTTTTTTCAATTTTATCTATTATTGTCTGTTTATATCAGACTGACCTTCATGGCCCCTGACCTTTTTTTTTCAATTTTATGTTATTGTCTGTTTATATCAGACTGACCTTCATGGCCCCTGAGCTTTTTTTTTCTATTTTATCTATTATTGTCTGTTTATATCAGACTGACCTTCATGGCCCCTGAGCTTTTTTTTCTATTTTATCTATTATTGACTGTTTATATCAGACTGACCTTCATGGCCCCTGAGCTTTTTCTCCAATTTTATCTGTAATTGTCTGTTTATATCAGACTGCCCTTCATGGCCCCTGAGCTTTTTTTTTTCCATTTTATCTATTATTGTCTGTTTATATCAGACTGACCTTCATGGCCCCTGAGCTTTTTTTTTCTTTCTATTTTATCTATTATTGACTGTTTATTTCAGACTGACCTTCATGGCCCCTGAGCTTTTGAATCTATTTCATCTACCCGGTATTATTGACTGTTTATATCAGACTGACCTTCATGGCCCCTGAGCTTTTTTTTCTTTCTATTTTATCTATTATTGTCTGTTTATTTCAGACTGACCTTCATGGCCCCTGAGCTTTTGTCGCTGGCTCGCTTGGCAGCCAGTCCCATGTTAACAAACAGTTCTAGGAGTCGGACTAACAACTCGTTCTGGTCCTCTGTCCCCTGTACGTTGGAGGCAATGTTAGCGAGGGCGTTAATCACCGTCTGGGAAACTTGTCTGACAAAAGTCAAATCATTACTGCATTATCATTTAATAACAGGCTGAGAAAGCCATATTAAGGAGGAACAGGACCTTTAGCTGAAAAAAATTCCTGTCAATGAATTTTTTTCGTATTTTTCATATTACCAATTTAATATGTACTTAACATTTTAAAACGGTCCTGTCATGGGATTTCTTGACTTATTTAAAAGATATCGCCCCACAAATACCGCCCTGTTTAGAGTTTGTATGGAGTTTAGATACTTCAGGTTTACGGGCCCATAACGGAGTCCATAATGCGAATTTTTACGCACAAACAATAAATATGATAGATAACACTATATACTCAAATATTTCATAATATTCATAGTGTTTAAATTAATCTGAAAGCAATTGTTTTAATTTTATATAGTATTTGGTTGGATAATTTCCATTTTTCAAGGCAGCTTTAACGACAAAAACCTCATTTGGAAAAAATTCTGTCAATAAATATTTCTAAATTTACGATTGAATGTCAGTCCTTCATCGTAATTATTTACTGCATAAATATCACAGGGTGAAGCTAACCTCAATATCGCACAGGACATCGTTGAATTAAACGTAAGCATGATAAAAACGCTTCACGTTTGTATTTTCCGAGTGCGGGAAATCAATTGTGACGTCACACAAAAATATAAACATTCAAAATTATCTAATTAGAGAGAATCTCTGCTACTAAACACGAAAAAATATTAATTTAAAAAATCTACCTCAGAAATTTATCACGATACATTGACTGTGACCTATTTATGATGAAATAAAACAGATCATGACGGGTGTGTGTACTTGATCTCGCTGCACTGAGAATTCAAACACTACGTCTATGACGTCACTGACGTCAGACTGCAGGGTAAAGAGAAACAAATGTGTGGATTGGGCAACTTCACAATATCTAAATGATGGCAAGATCTTTTAAAACTTTTATTAATAATAATTTCTAAAATTAAATGTTTAAAAAAGAATTTTAGAATTTAGAATAAAATTACACAAGAACTGTTGATTCTTAACAACGTTTAAAATGTATATCATCACCGATTATGACGTGGTATGTCTCTTTAGTCATGTGACATGTGTCCTGTCTCCCCTTAATGCATTATCACTGAACAACAAAGCAGGAAACTTGTCTGCCAAAAGCCAAACGCATTATCATTTAATAACAGTATGGCAAACTTGTCTGTAAAAGAAAATTCCACCCTTAATTAAATACAACCACTTTCACGATACCTGTATCCCCTGATCTTTTCATCCTTCTCCCCTGAGCTGTATGGAGAACTACTCTCTATACTGATCTGAACAAACATCTTCATGACCTCATTGTACACAGTGGTCTATAAATAGTAACACATAAACATGCAAAATCAAATTTCATATTAATTAATGGGGTAGGTACAATTAACTTAAAAAATACTGAAGTGTTGAACATCAACATGGTCAATGTCAGAATGTTTATTACTTTGACCTAAAAAATAAAAAAATCTTCACAGATTTGTTTCTTATTTTTAAATACCAGTAAATAAAATGAAACAGTGTAGGAAAACTACCCACATACTATCTATCCTTTTTCCAACACTTACACATCCGGCGATGATCATGGAGCCGAGCTGGTCGACAATCAAGACGTCGAGCTGTGAGGGTGGGGAACAGAACCGCTGCTGGAAGATCTGTAGGACAGACTCCACCGTCTTGGGGGTGTCCTTCAGTGCCACCGCCACATGCCCCAGGGTCAGGATCGTGTTAGTGGAGATCAGGTTAGACTCCCTGTTATAACATCAAGTCTGAACTCAGAATTTACAGAGGAGGGTCACATGTTATCACATGTATACATACAGCATAACATGCCCAAAAAAAGTACCGGAAAAATAATAATGCAAAAGAAATGTAAGAAAATAATAATCATTGAGAGCTTTTATCAGTTGCCATAGAAAAAATTGCATTCAAAATTAAAATCAATCTCACAGCACATCAACAGAAAGTGATCCCAAACAAAAATTTTAAACATAAACTTCACTAGCATACAACAGAGTATTTCAAGCACTAATGCATGCAAATTAATACTAACAGTGATAATCTAAATACAGTACAATATTTCTTGAGAGAAAAAAAATGACTACTTCTTGATAAATATATAGAATATAACATTATTACATGCATAAGCAAAGATATTGCATACAGAAAAGCAATTTGTAAGTAAAGAAACAAGCACCTTATATTTCTAACAAAGATTTGGAGTTAGTTTTATTTCCTTTTCAGGTATTAGTAAACCAAGTTATTGATTCTCTACCATGAAAATACCCCTTACAAATTCAATCAAAATTCTATTTGTTGCAAAGACGAAAATGCTTTTTTGAGAAAATCAAACTTGTCATTGCATAAAGAAGTCAGTTTAATATGTTTTCAAATAATTTTTTTTCTAGTCTAATTAATTTTATCCTTGAAGTTCCTTTTTTTCTAATTAGTAAGCTTATAATGCTCTAAGATGCTATTACCGGTATATTTAATTTGATTAAAAGTTGCATCTAAATTTATTTACTGAATTAAAAGCCACACACAACATCCCCCCACCATATTAATTTTATAACCTGTAAATAAAATCTGAAAGCTGTGATATGACAACACAGTGTGTACAAAACACTGCCGCCAGGGTTTATGAAAAGTTAAGTGTGCAATATCTAAATCTCTAGGATAAATTAGCTTTGCCTCTCTACATCCTGCAGTTCAAGGTTTCCAGACGACGGTCGAATGAATTTCATAACCAGTTTCAACTGGTTCCACCTTTCTTCTGCAGATTTCCCACTCCTGCAGGATTCAGGAAGAATACAATCAAACTTAGCATTTTATAAATTTAGGTAACAAAAGGCCCATGTGCCACAAAGCTCACATAAGGCATACACATTCTGTCTTGTGTCCCAAAATGAAGAAAATGAGGCTGGAACAAAGAGCGATATATGGTAAGTGTCTCAATTGGCCCCTTAAAATGAATATCTTAATTGTACTTTATATATAGCTTTAATTTGTACAGCTATATATGCGGCCTTTATTGGTCATTTTCATTTTGATCAAAATGCCGTTATTTTAGAAATATGACATCATAAAAATAACGTTTTCCCGCCATTTCAGCATATTTTGTATAAAACTGCTTATTTTCAAGCAGTTTTTCTTCCAAAAAATATAGAGCGCAGCCTAGAACAAGATTTATATTTTTACCAAAGATGTATCTATCCAATACTAATTAGTGACAGAAAAATTACGTATGTTCTACACTGCGCTCTGTGTTTCCCATAAGAAAACAACATCAAGAAAAAGGCATATTTTTGGCTTTTTTGTTACCCCCCGTTCACACAGAGCTGCGACTCTACCGCGATCATCCCGATCAAGCCACGATCTGAAAATTTTTTGGATCGGGGCAGATCGCAGCCGATCGGCGTCAAAATAGAGCAATTTGGCAAATTATGGTCTTCGTTACGACCGTACTACGATGTCCCTACGTCAAACGCGCTGCTAACAAGCTTCTACTACGATGTTACGCAGACCGTTGCCGACAAGCAGCCGTGTTTAGTGCGTTTACGCTACGCTGCCACTACGACATTGAAGACCATACTGCGACGCTACACAGACCTGGATGACTGTACCGCGATGTGGCTACGGTGGTGCCGATCATATTACGACTGCATTACGCTTCTAGTACGATTTTGGTAATGATGTAAATATATCTTGAAACTGCAGATTTTTGTAGTACAATTTTAGCGATGATACATATTTTGTGACCGCAGTTTTTTTCCGGCCTTTACCACATGGTTTAGGACATCTTCAATTATTATAACTGTAACAAGATGTGAAAATGCTCAATTGTAAATGATCATCAAGTATAGTGTCTATGGCACGCCAAATTCACAAAAATGAGATAAACCTAGTTTCACAATTGATAAACTAGGTTTATCGACTGTAATCTATAGTTTACAAACCGTAAACTATAGTTAACGATTCGTTAAGTATAGTTAACGATTCGTTAAGTATACTTTTCATCTGTAAAACTATATTTAACGGTTGTTAACTATAGTTTACGAATGATAATCTAAGTTTATCCGTCTGTAATAAAACGTTAACAATAGATTTTGTTGATAAACATAGATTCACGTCTGTAAACTATAATTTACGATCGTCAACTATAGTAAGAGTTGTTAATCATAGTTTCACAAATCGTGAAACTATATTTATCAAATCGTTAACTATAGTTAACGGTTTGTAAACTATAATTTACAAATCGTGAAACTGTATTTATCAGATAATCTATGTTTTGCAATCGAAAATGATAGTTTTCGGTGTTAGGTATAGTTTACGGCTGTGAAACATAGATTATCGGGTTAACTATAGTTTACAGATGTAAAATATAGATTAACGTTGTTAACTATAGTTTACAGTCCGTAAACTATAGTTTACAACCGATAAACCTAGTTTATCTATTGTGAAACTATGATTATCTCATTTTTGTGAATTTGGCGTGCCATAAGTGTCACCCTTTACATGTAGTTAACAGATGATGATTGGTCAAATATCAGCGGTATAAGAACACACTCTTGTCTGATAGGTCGTGATATGATCTGCGTAAAGTCATTGTAGGTCTTCGTAGGATCTTCAGGCACGTAGAGAGATCGTAGTGAGAACGTAGTACGAACGTAGAGGGAGCGTTGTATGAGCGTGCTTGGTAAGTTCCTACGCTCTCACGGCGCTTTTACTATGATCATGAAGATCTCTCTACGATGCTTCCGCGCTGCTTGTACGATTACGGCGCTTCTACTACGCCCTTTTTACGACTTCACCCCGATTCTTGTTGGCCACGATCCCGCTACGCTTGTTTTGAACATGTTCAAAATAAGCGTGGTGAGAGCGTAGAGCTCTCCGATCATGAAGACTCTACTGCGATCATACTACGCTTCTGACGACCCCACGACGTTCCTCCTGCGATCTGTCACGATCGACCACGCTTTTGACCACACTTTGATCGTAGTAGAAGCGGCGTCTATGTGTGAACGGGGGGTTAGATAGCAAAAATAGCATTATTTCTTATGTCATTTACAGCTAGTGAGTGCATATAAATGTGAAAAATATATTGGAAATATTTCTAATTTAATCTCTTCTACAAAATAAATATCAATTAAACATATCTGAACATCATTCTAAAATGTTGATTTTTAGGGGGCCAAAATTGGCTCTTATCATATATACTCCTTTGAACTGCAACTCAAAAGGATTTTTAAGAATTATACAAAATGAACTATATAATGCTTGCAGATTGAATATTTGAAAAATTTTAACAAAACCTTTACCCCCAACCCCAATTAAGCACGATAAAACATGATTTGAACTAACTTGAATCTGCTTAAGAGGTTCCTCTGATGAACAACATCTTTTAACTTATTTCCCCTTGGCAATGAAACTACAGTGTATAAAAACTACACACAGATCAATCATGACAGACAAACTTTGATTAGAAAAGCTCAACTGAGACATAGACTCGAGTGAGCTGGTAACAGGCTAATTATAAAAAAAATTCAGTCATTCAAATTCAAAAGAAGGAGCAATACCTTAGTGTCATATAAACTGGAAAACTAACAATCAACAGTATTAAATACAAGAACATTTTAAAACCGTCTAATACCTTAGTCGCCGAAAATACTCATACATGGACAGATTCAGGGCCTGAAACCTTTGGAAAAATACTTACTGCTCATTTTCAAAATTCAAATTTTTACTAATCAAATGAAAAAATATATTCCTTTATATCTCTGGCAACTGCAATAGATACAAGTTTTTATTCTTAATTTAAATTTCATAAAAGACAGTAAATCTCATAGATGTAAGAATTTATTTTTTTTATAAAAGGTGCAGATGTAATACATGTATCTAAATTTAAAATGAACTCCGGTATTTTAAAGCCAAGATGCAGAATACCAAGGATTTATCAATAGGAGTTTACTGAATGTGAGATCAATTTTTTTTTTTTTTTTTTACTTTTTTGTCAACTATTGGACAGCTTGAAGTTTGTGACAGTCCTGCTGCCTTTGAGATATTAAAGTTTACAGGAGCATTAAAAAATTCAGCTTGAGTACATCACATGATTTTTGGTGCTATTCTTACAGTGTCCCACAACCTGGACATACAAAGCAGGAACCTTTACAAACCCAAGTCATGGTCAAAACTAAAGCATATACACTGGCCACTGTCCGTAGAAAGTACTGACCTCAAACAAAGAAACCTACAGACAGACAGGCAGGCAAGTCAAGAATGAGCTTCCCTAAATATTATACGGGCATCAAACTGAATGATGTAGATTTGATATTTATATTATACATCATGCAATAGAAAAATAGAAGTCAGATAAAGCCAGAAGACCATACAGCATTTATTTCATGCTTAACCAACCAAGACCGAGAACTGCATTATTTGTCCATTTCAATAATCAATTTACACACAAGAAGTATATATACAAATTATATGAGGTCTGAATTACTGATATACATGTATAAATGAAAAAACAATCAATTCTTGTAAATATTATTTTTTATCACGATCTTGTAAATTTTATCTAAGATAATCTATAGAATACCTGTCTGACATTTCTGCTCTGTATAAACGGTTTGAGATGGAAGCCATGAACGCCTGGACACAGTCTTCATCTACCTCCAGACAAGCCTTCAGGGCCCTGCAACAAGATAAACAAAATGAAATTCTCTTTACATTTTCTTACGATTTATCACATATGGTATGTTAAAAAATATTTCCTAATACATCTTATTCAATGACTGTAACTACCACTGCTTTGAACTACACATTTGGGATTGCTTCATCATTAAATTTAAAAGCTACATAAAAATGTTGAAAAATTCAGTACTCTACCTGCAGGCGTTGATGATGGCACTGTCTCTGATGTTTTCTAAAGCCTTCAGTAATTTGCTTTGAGGCTGGTCTCTGCGGCCAGACTTTGGAGATTTCCCGGTATCTGTGACCGTGATCTTAATGCTACTCCTGCTGTCCACTGAGGCGTATTTGTTCAGTTTACTAAGTATGGGAGAGGGACTCACCAGAAAATCTCGAAGAGTGCAGCACATGGTCCAGGCTAACAGTGGAAACTTGATGGCCAGTTTTCCTAAAGACTAACATACAGAAACAGGATCTCCTATACTGAATACTTCATTGTCTGCCTAAGTGACAGAACTAAAGATTACTTGTATCAGATACTCTGAGCAGTTAGACATTGTTTACATAAAATGTATGTGTTCTTCAGAAATAGGAGAGAATCTCTTGAAAAAGTGATTTGTACCTCTAAAGCCACTAGAAGTACTGGAGTGTGTGACAACAGTAACTTCCTCTCCGTGTTTGTACTTATCTTCTCTGTCAGTCGTAAACACAGACTCTCAGCCTCTGAATCAGAAAAAAAGATGAATTGTAGATCTCACAAGTAAAGGAAACCTCATCAAGTGGTGCTATTTAGTTACTAGCCATACCTCTCTCTTCCTTGACTGCCCAGAACATGAGATCTACACAGACAGCGCAGCTCAGCACCATCATCTCGTACGTGTGGAAATCTGTCTTCTTCTCCATCTCTCTGCTTCCCTTCCCTCGCTTGTCAAGGTCATTCTGTCCAGAGGAATACATCGTCTTGGAAAATTCATACACCTCTGTCATGAAACTGGTTGGCATGTCTACAATTTACAATGGAGATTTAAATAAATTAACTGCATTTGACAACTGAGTATAAACATGTATGTATTTCATATATGAGTGCAATCTAAATCCTTGATATATAAATGTATCAATTAATATTCAGTGTGTGAATTTTAAAACAATATGAGTATTTCTCTCATACCTATTTATTGTTAAATTAAGTAAATAATTAAAGTTTTTATTCTTTTAACATTGTCTATCATGCAAAAATGCTATAAAGCCATCTTTTGGATTATAATAGTTATAAATAGTACATTGGCTGACTTTACATTAGCCTGGCCTACCCTTTTCCTGCTCCAGAATGTCCCTCAGCATGGTGACCGTGGACAGAGTGACCGCCTCACTGTAAGACTTGTACGGCCACCAACTGTACTTCTTACCATTCTGTTCATAAACCATCAGAAGATTGAGAAAATTCAAATGGTTATAATAAAAATACAAGCATGTATCCATACATATACATACATATATTTATACATGTAAATAAATTTTCAGTTCTTATTACTAGTTACTAATTATCATTTAAATTTTACTGAACCAAAAGAAAATAAAGGGTGAATACCAATTCAAGTAAAGTTAAAAGTAAGAAAGAAGTTTTTGAATCACAGAGATGATGAAATATTTTAAAAATTTTAGCAATGAAGTATTAGATATTCCTTACAAATGACTTCAACTTACTTCAACACTGATCATCCATGTAAAAGCTGTGTTGACATTCCCTAAAACCTCTTTGCTGAGCAACCTCTTTGTCTGAAATTTAAAAAAATGAAATGATTCCTCGCTTATTTATGGCCATTTACTGTTTACATGTAACATACATGTAACTGACCAGTAAAACCACAACAAAATATACATGTCATTTGAATTTAAATTATGTAAAGAATCAACATGCACTAATTTACTTACCAGAGATACAAGTCGCTGAAGTTGAGTCTGGGAGAAAACCAAGTGATCTCTTTCTGGGATGATTTCAAATCCCCAGGGCTTTACACAAGTAAAGCTGGAGGCAATCTTACTGAAGTAGTAGGTAGAGGCCTCCACGTCCTCCTCCTGGCCTGGTTTAACTGGGGTCTGGACCCCCAGGGGAGAGGGGGACCGCTCCCTGTACCGCATCGTGGGGAACTCAGACAGGCTCCCTCCCGTGGGCGTGACGGGGGAGACGGGGTCAGAGTAGATGAGGTGAGTGGAGATAGTCCGGGGGAGGATCGAGCGGAACGTGAAGGTTTTTTCTTCCTCCTCTTCCTCTTTGTCATCTTTAGGTGTGCTGTGTTCCTTCTGGACAGATTCTGATGGATACAGTAAAGATATCAGGGGTTTGATCCCATCACTAGATCTGCCCAGGGCTCGAATCAAACCAAACAGAAGGGGAATAATTATCAAGGAGAGCTTCACTGAAAAAAAAAAAAGAAAAATGATTTACTTCAATATTATTTTCCTAGAAATTAACATCTACTTAATTTTTTTTATTGTAATGAAAAAGTTTACAAGTCAGACTGTATGAAAGTAACTTAGGCTTGTTTTGATTTTACTTAATTTTCAGTAATAATAATTCATTTTATTTTTCCTCATCAAAATTACACATTTTTACAGCATATGAATTTTAAAATACCATAACAACCTTCTTTGGAATTATCTGTGTCTTCACACTTGTTAATTAAAGCTTCCAGGACATCTAACTGTGTACTGAGAACCTGCAAAACATGAGAATGTGTTAACTAAAACCATAAACTAAAACTGGGGGATTAACTCATTACAAAGACAAGGAAATACATAGATTATTTCCCTACTGATGAAGTAAAAAAAAATGTCACATTGGTATATACAGTTAATATTTAACTTAGTTCAAGTTCTGCCTTCAAGTTCCTTAATAATTTACCTCATCTCTCAAGTTGTCATCTTTGAATGCTAAGTCACTTAGTATTGTATTCAAACAAAAGCTGAAGTTTTCACATCTTGGTAATGCTAGAAAATATCAAGATAACTTTTAGACTTATTGTCTGCTTACTGATCCACATATAAAGTTTATTCTGAATCATTAATAAACAATAATAAAACAATGAAATTCATCATACTATGTTTGTCAATAAGGGCTGTTCCAGCTAGAAATGTAATGGCAGTGGGTAGGGTGGGGATTAGGGTGTTAATCGGCACTTTTTTTTCATAGAAAATATTAACCATTTATACAACTAACAGTGTTTTCTTCTTTGACACCCATAATTTTTTTTTACTACATGATAATCCTTTTTTTTTAAAAGAAAATTTCAATGTGGATTTAATATCATTTATTTTGTTTTTTACAATTAATTATCAACAAAATTAAATCCCATACGAAATTTTCATATTACTTTATATTGAATAATGTTACTTTTGAAAGGACATAATTTAAAGCACACGAAACCATTTTAGATAACAAATCAGTGAAATTTGATCCCCATGAAAATTTGTGTTTCTATAGTAGATAAAAACAATAAAATCACTAACTTTGTCCTTTTCCTGGTTTATGTTTCCCACTCCACTGTGAAGCTGGCAGACATCTCAAAACTTTCAGCAAATATGGTGCTATCTTGTCTTTATTCTAAACAACAAATCACAGTTTATGTTATTTTTCTGATTATTGCATACAGGCATGCATAAACAAGCACACAAAACTTTTTGTACATTAAATTGATTATAAGATATACATTACTACCGTGGTAGGTCATCTAATAATGCCTGTATTACCTGCAAGTCAGATTCCAGCAGGAATATACCAAGGGAAATCACTGCATCTTGACCCCTCTGGTCCAGTGTCAAACCGCCATTAATCTCCTTGGGGCAAAATGAAAATAACCGGGCAATCTGAAATAGTTGTACAAATATTATTTTACTGTATGAATCAAGTGTGTCAATTCCAATTGTTTAATTAACATAATAATAGTGATTAGTTAACCAACATGGAGATTTTTTTTTACAACTTCTTTTTTATTGTGTACATCTACACATCTTGTACCCTAATAAATAATAGATTTATGGTATGACACTTCATCTGCAAATGGCCTGCTTAAAACCTGAAGCAGTTTTAAGAATCTTGGATTTTAGAAGTGAAACATTTCAATATCTCAAATGTTCATCAAGAAATTTTAATATAAGGCCATTAATGAGTTTTCATTTTGATTTCTGACGTTACCTTTAACATGTTTATTTACCAAAATATGCGCAGGATGTTAAGATTCTTTAAACTTTCAGGTTATGAACAAGCCCTTTATAGATTAAGTGTCATAGCAAAAATCTATATAAAAATAATTGAATTCAAATGATGTGTAAATATAAAGAAGTGAACTATTTGAACTTTCTGGGAATAATATTGGACGAAACATTAAATTTTATAAATAATGCGACTGGTCACTAGCTTCCTATAGATCTATTATGGTTAAATGAAAAGGTATAGGGCATTCCAAAAATTCTGTCTATGCAAAAATATCTTTTTTCACCTTATCCTCTGGCGCTGGATTGATTGCTGCAGATGATCTTGCAAACTGACGTAAAATTTTCGCAAATAAAACGCCGTCGTCCGCCATGTTCTGTCTTGCATTACTTCCCTTAGATATGGATTTTTCACCCGATCCCGACATAAAAAAACAATATTTTTTTAAGTTTCTTGCCATTTCTTAGATCTAAACGAAATTGTTTTTTCTCTTTTTTTGGTCAAGTAATATCGTGTTTTCTATGATGAAGTTTGAACAATAACTCTAATTGCGAATTAATATTTATATAACATCGGGATCTAATTTTCTCGTCACTCTCTGGGTATAAGCATGGCGACCTGTCATGCCTCTAACCCTGACGTTTATTTTAACTTCCCCCACGTGTGCTGCTGTCTTCTAAGGTGGGCTTCCAGCAGACGGGGAAGTTTTTAAATAAAAGAAGCCTGCCTATACCAAGAGGGGTTGTCACACTTCGGTCTTTTGCAGAATTGGTCGTGCAGTGCTAAGATTGTCTTCCATAGACTTCGTGTCCATGGTACATCTTTGTGCTTGTCTCTGGCCAATTTAAGAGAAATGTTCTGTAATGGACATTGTGTGTAGATAAAAAGCCAATGCATCAGTACATGTGTGTTAGAGAAAGCACACAAGGCGATGTAGGCAAACATTTAATTTTTTTTTTTTACATAACCTTTTTACACGATATTTAGAACACCACCAATATCTGCGGAACTGTATTTACATGTAGTTCACAGGTTTGAAATAAAATGGGGATGGAGGACAAGAGCTACAGCATGAAATATATAGAAATAACAAGCAGGTTTAAAGCTCAAACCTCCATTAAACAATTATAAATCTGTAGTAGAGCAAATGCTGACCTCTACAACATCAAAGGTGGGATCAGGTGTCATGAAGGAGTGAGCATCCCCTGCCGACCACCACTCCCTCCTGTTGTGTGCTCCTTACGATCGTGTAAATCCGTCCTCTATTCGGTGTGTATAATGGCCTAACAATTTGAATAAAAACGTCAGTCAGCATAGTTGACCTAATGATGGCCATGGATTATATTTGCTGTCATTTTTACGACCATAGAACTTTCAAACGAAATGACGACTTTGAATTAAACTGTTGATAATCTTGTCTTCATCAGCTTGTTTGTCAATAATTTTCTTGCCTCGTTTTAGAAACTGTTCATACATACTAAAGCATCCTCTTGCGCATCTTGGTAATTAGCGAAGATGCCTCTTGCGTATATAAACCCAGTATGCAGATGATAACAGTGGCGTAGCATCGTTTTTAAAAGTGGGGGGGCCAGGCAGAGAAAAAAATTTGTTTACTTACCTGAAAAAGTTGACAAGCAAAAAAAAAAAAAAAAAAATGTAAAAGTTGCCCAAAGTCGACAATCCTATTTCGTGGGGGGGGGGGGGGGGGGGGGGGGTAGGTAAACTTTTTTTCAGTGTCAACTACTTTTAGTACCAATTCTTATACTACATTTTCGGTACATTTCTAACAGTGGGGGGGCCAAACAGGCTTTGAATTAACATTTCCTATAGTGTAAGTAAGGTTGGGAAAAAAAGTGGGGGGGCCAGGCCCCTGGCCCCCCCGGATACTACGCCCGTGGATAATGTTAAGGGTATATTACTGCATAAGTAAGGGAAGTTGGCGATTGAAAAGTTTAAAAGTCATCGCACTTATCATAAGGCATTGTTGTTTACCTTCTTTAATTGACGTCTTTGTCAAGTAAAATATACAAATACTATTTCATCGTATGAACCAGCTGTGTCAGACTCCATGGTGTCTTTTATTTCAAGCTAACCGATATAAATCATGTCGACATATGAATGGAAATAACCACAATGCGTCGTCGATATACTCAGTGTTTAAATGTCGAGTTGGAAGTCACAGGCACCTGACGTTATATACTTTTTTTTTACCCCTACCTAAGACCGCGGAACATTAACTGGCAAAATTGGAAATATACAGCTTACGTCATTTCTATCAGTTACAATCGAAACATTCAGTGAAAGACAGCGTAATGGGCGGGTACAATTCGACGCGGACGTTTAGAAAACATCGGATTGAAATCGCAGATCGAAATTTATTTTCAATCTACCTCAGCTACGCTAGAATTCGACGCGGACGTTGTGGACTGAAAACATCGGATTGAAATTGCAGATCGAAATTCATTTTCAATCCACCTGAACTGTTTTCAAAGCAAAGAGTTAATATATGATCCAAAAATCAACTAATTTCAACTCCCGAATACATATATTGTTTGAAGTTCACATTAATACGAGTTTTAGCTTATAATTTTAGGGACGCGAAAGATTATAGTAGACAAAGATTATTTTTCAGGAGATGTGTGGGTGGGGGGGATAAAATTTTTTCGAGTCAGGTCATGAATTACATGTACATGTAACATGACAACAGATTTTATTTCTAGGATTATAAGAGTGCATGAGTTTTATACTTATTTTCACTGAAAAAATGTCGGACAACTTTATTTAAAATTGTTAAGCCCCCATCCCCTAACACAAACATATATTTACCAAACAGAAATGAAATATTTGTCCCTTTATATATTTTTTAAAACACTGAACAAAAAAATTCAAACTACAAAAATTGAAATTATACTGTCTTTTTGGTCAATCAGTAATGTGCCTTCTAGCGTAGCTGAGGTGGATTGAAAATGAATTTCGATCTGCAATTTCAATCCGATGTTTTCCCCACGTCCGCGTCGAATTGTACCCGCCCATTACGCTGTCTATCACTGAATGTTTTGATTGTAACAGATAGAAATGACGTAAGCTGTATATTTCCAATTTTGCCAGTTAATGTTCCGCGGTCTTAATGATAAACAGCAAGTGGTAGATCTTCTTGAACAAATTTTGCATATCATATGAAATAAGGGGCACTGACTTTTCGGAGTAATTTGCTTTGGTAAATAATGTTGGAATCTGGTTAACCCCCCCCCCCCCTTTTTGGTTAGTTGCTTCGGGTAATGTTGAGCATGGACAAATTCTAGGATTTGTACATTTTTTTTTTTTTCATAGGACGTTTTGGTCTGCGTGTCAGTTTTTTTTGGAAGCCATTCCCCTATTTTTGAATCCGTTGCCATGGAAAGGCGTGAATCAAGAGTTAGCCAACTTCGCTAGCCAAGCATGCGCGGATCTAGAGGGGGGGGGTCGGATCAGGACCCCCCCCCCCCTTGGAATTTACCAGGTTAATAGGTATGAAAAGTAAAAGATTGGAGGCAATAGAAGTCATACCCCCCTTCCCACGAAATAGGTTTTTGACGTTTGGGCGAGTTTAGTTTTTTTTTTTTTTTTTTTTTGCTTGTCAATAAATTTTTTTTTTTTTTTGACCGCGGTGGACCCCCCCCCCCCCCCCCCTAGAAAAAAATTCTGGATCCGCCGCGCCTGCCAAGGGTTTCTGATACGCGTCTCGCCGCAAGAACCCGGAGGAGAGTAGCGTATCAGAAACCCTTGGCTAGCGAAGATGAGAGTTAGCGTGCGTATTTCTTAAAATATTTATCAAAATTGGAGCATTAAGGAAATTCATCATTCGTGATTTCTAGAACTACATGTATAATGATTAAATATACAAATTGGAGTAGTTAAATAAGCATTGATAAATCCAACATTTAATTGGTACATGTATATGTATTTTTGAAATACCACTGAAACAAAACCAAGGGTAAAAGATTTAACAATACAATTCAAAAATGAATTCTTCAATGAATCACAGACACCTAGCTGCATTTTTCTCAATCGGACGCTCAATAAGCCAAATATCGAAAAATTCTACCCCCTCTAAATCCAGATGCCTGTAAATGAAGATCCTAAATAAAAGCTTGTCCCCTTCCCAATTTTTCTCAGTGACGTTAAGCCTTTTCTCTGCTCCATAAAGAAAGCTTTTAAATTATTTACCTGCAAGTAAATGTGGAAATCAGATGTTTTGTTTTTAAAAATGAAATGTTCCTTCCTCCTATGTATTTCTTACTCTGAATTCTTGAATCTGTCAATTTTTGCTATTATTGTAATATTCTTGTTATCATAGGGTTTATTCATGCATGCGTATAAAATATATTAAAGTTTATGAAAAGCGATATCGCCTATAAGCAAAGGCAGTTGGCAGTGAGCAAAAAGTCAAAATGAAACGAGATATTTGTAAAATACCTATGCCCCCCTCCCCCAAATAATTGGAATTTTTTCTAAATCCTAAGGGCATAACTCTGTCAAAAATTGCTGGATCGTACCCAAAACAGAGCTTGACCTAGATATTCATATGATAAATCTGTATACCAAATTTCATTTCAGTTTGTGCAATATCTGCGAAGAAAAGGAACGGAAACTGCAAATAATTAAATTTTTTTTTAAATCGAAGGGGCATATCTCTGTCAGAGATGATTCGATCGTACCTATAACAGAACATGACCTAGCTGCAGATCTGTAGCGTTATGGGTTTTATATATTTGTCTTTGACCATAACGCTACAGATCCCGTAAAGCAAAAAAAGGTGCAATTTATGGCGCAATATTTTTTGCGCACTTTTGGGGAGAATTTCTCCACTTTCTAGCATTGGTCAAGCAACTACCTTACACTCCCTAATTCTAGACGCATTCTGTAGCCAATATGTTTATTTTATCCACCTCCCAACCATTTATAGTTGTCTCTACATGCAATAACCTCACATGAAGTGAATTTTAGCAATCTAACAAATAATTTTAATCAAGCGAGTTTATCACTTGTAGAGACGACTATAAAGGGTTTGGAGATGGATAAAATGCACAGATTAGTTCAATAATTGCCTAGAATTAGGGAGAGAAAGGTAGTTAATTGACCGATGCTAGAAAGTGGAAAAATTCTACTTTTATGAAACTACTCACCAGTGGGTTTGAGCTAGAACTGTCAATTTCAGGTATTTTTATTGGCGGGTTTAATTTGCATATATATAAAGTTATGAGAAACTTTCTTTGCCATGAGCTACCATACAGGGGTATCAGTGGTTTTGAACACATCTTGTTCAAAATATAAATTGTAAGAAAGAATCTTTATCAAATCTCTTATGCCCAGATCATCATTTGCAGTTACTAATGTATCACATACAGATAGTGGTAATGATCAGATTAATTGTCATTTATAACCATGAACAAGGAACAGGCTTATCATTACAAATCAATTTATTTGACTTAAAAGTCCACAGAATTTTTATCACAAGTGTCTTTTCATCTGTTCTAGTGTCCATGCATGTATTTTGACCACTTAATTTCTTCCTCAGGGGTCATATCCAAGTATCCCTGTGAGCCGGCATTTGTGATTGGACAATAAAACAGGGTCTTCTCCTCTCCACCTTCCCAGGGGAAAGCCTAAAAGTCAGAATTTGCATTTAAGTAACCGGTGGATGTACAATTATAAATATTATCACCTACATATAATGACTGCTGTGAAGTATTCTTTCTTCATATACCATTCTTTGTAAAAATTTCATTGAAAAATGGCAACAATAACTGAAGCTTTTCTTGGTTTTGGATGGAACACAGAAACACAATCTCAAAATCATTCCTGGAATCCTTTCTCTAATAAAATGCTTGTTCATCAATCAAGATTCAAGAAGCAATTCTTACATAAACCAAGGTGCACAGACAGTGGTTTTCTTGAAGACAATGACATTACCAGTATTACAATATTCAAACTGAAATATCTTTCCCACCCATAACCTCCCTTCTCCCATAGTTCATTTCTAATTTGTAAAATCCTTGAAGAAAAGTCTAGTATGAACAACAGAACAACTTTTGAACAAGCTAAATTAACTTAAGAAATGAAACACAAACTGGTAATTCAAAGAGCTGTTTGATTTGGGATTTGAAAAAGTCTTAAACTACTCTGAAATTCTTGCTTCTTTTTGAATTTTTCTCCCAGTAAAAAGTAAAATTCTCAATTTGATTTAGTGATTTCTGTGTGTTTTTTGTGTGTTGTTTGTATGTCTGTAATTTGATTTAGTGATTTCTGTGTGTTTTTGTGTGTTGTTTGTATGTTTGTAATTTGATTTAGTGATTTCTGTGGGTTTTTTTGTGTGTTGTTTTTATGTCTGTAATTTCGCACCTTCTTCCTGATGCGGATATGAGAGTAAGGTCGAAACTCTGGTCTCTTTCCATGTGATTCATCCATCTTCTCGTAGATACGTGTCAATATGCACACAGGGATACCAAGGAAGAAGGAGATGCTATTCCATTTTCCAATTTCTGGAAGGAAGATTTTGTACTTGTATTGTGTGTTATCATAATCATAGATTTTCTTTCTAAATTGCACAAATTTGAAGAGTGTAAAGATTGATCCATTTCATCTATTGAATTATATTCATTCTTTTGACAGCGTTTAATTCACATTGTAAGGAATATAGCTATGAAAATCGAAAGAAATTTGAAATATGACAACTGATACACAGAACTCTTACTCTGAATATTTGCCAAAATTTAAAACATTCAGAATCATGAAGATAGAATATTCATTTCTATCATACATGTTTTTTTCCCTTTAAACTAAGGTCAACACTAAAATTTACCCAATTACATGCAACTTGTAGCAGGTAACTCCGATACCAAAAATCTTTCTTTTTAAGAATAATCTGGCAGGTAATGAGGTATTTTCCTAGTTAGATTACTCTGTTCAACTGTTTCTGAGGCCAGGCCCTCACGGCTCACCAGGTAAAACTGGGTCCGACTGTAGGGCATTTATCATTTTAATGATAGAGGATTTGATCTCCTGTTTCATACAATGTTATTTATTCTTTCAAACTTCTTACTTCTGCATTACATCTATATGCCAATATGGGACATATTCTTACTATTGTAAGGTCTGCCATGTGACATTGGTTATAAGAACATCACATTAGGCCCTATACCTTTGTCAGTCACCCTTTAAAATTTAATAAAATATGCCGACATTTTTTGAGATTCTGTATATGAAGCAGAAATTAGTCAGAATGATCCCGGTTGCTCTAATGATATGAATATTAAAATTAAAGTGGTGAAAAATAAATCAAAAATTAGATACTTAGATACCTTATTCGAACAATTTCCACGTTTTTCTCAACTTTAGTTTCTGAGTTAGGACGGTCCGAATTTGTTCCCTGATAATTACTTTGTACCTTAATCAGCAGATTTCTCAGTTTAGTACTTAAAAAAACATATGCTTTATCTACATGGATTACATATTGTTTTAATTCTGATAAAGGACGAAAAATACAGCCCCAGAACACAGGACCCTGGGTTGATATGAGGCATGACCTTGGGAGGAAAGTCACAAAATCCGTGGAAAACGTCATAAAACCTAATTCCATACCATTGTGAGGATCCCTCCCAGCTTTTTTGGGAAGAAAAACTTCTGATTTTTTCACATTTGCGTCCACTTCTGTTGCAAACCGTCTTGCAAGTGGCCTACAAACACCTGTGGTCCTTCTAAGAACCAGCGCCATCTTTTTTATCAAACCGACCCTGGGAAACATTACTTGCATTCCGATCCCGACTAATTATCATAGTAAAATAATATATTCAAGTGGCATAAATTCAAAGTACCCTTAAATTTGGGAGCATAAAATCGTATTTTGTAAGAAAAATAACAACATATCATGATCATAATTTGTATTGATTTTTCAAATTAACAGGTTTCTCCAGTTATTCTTCTGTTTTTAAAGGAAGGAAAAATTAAGAATCATCAGTCATTTTAAAAAAAGGGGGAAAAAAATGAAGCCTTTAGTTTTATTTGGAACACTTTATATCAAATAAAATTAACAATAACAAAATATAATAATAATATATAACCCCAGATATTTCAAAATCTAACATTTAGTAAATGTCATTGTTACTTAAGTATAGACTAAGGGTGATGACTCTACTGTATCATCGTTTCGATTTTCAATGCCGATTTTATATGTAGGCAAAGCTAGGATTTCCGCATGGTGTTTAATATGGGGCACCGTTTTAATATTTTAAGGTATTTTCTTATATCAAAAAAAAAAAAAAAAAAAAAAAAAAAAAAAAAAAAAATGTTTTATGGAATGCCATATATACATTATGGAATGCCATATACGACAGCCAACTGCTGACTGCTTACTGCCAACTGTCAGCTGCTTACTGCCAACTGCCACACATATTTGAATAAATTTTATATTTCTATTGATATTTATATGAATTTTCACAAAAAAAAGAAAAAAAAAAAGAAAGAAAAAAAAAAAGGTACGGATCCAGGACATTTTTTCCAAGGGGGTCACCCTGGTAAAATTGAATTGAATAAAATGACCAATATGTTTCATCTTATGTTATATTCAATATATGCGGTTGATAAAGTACATCGTTTATTTTTTTTATTTGTTTTCCTATTTGAAATAGGTTATGACCATTTTCTGCTTTTAATCTTTAAAGAAGCCCCCCCCCTCCCCCGGAGACAACAAAATTAAACCTTTGAAGAGAGAATAATAGTAAAAAAGATTTGTCGTTTCGCAGAGAAAGATGTTTTGAAAATAAATTTCCGTTTTCCATTATATTCTATAGTTAAAAATTTCCTCAAATTAAAGATGTATATCTCTTTGTGTTATAATGAAAGTGGGGGGGGGGGGAGGGGCAACCAGAGAATTTTTTTTTTACTTACCTGAAAAAGTTTACAAGCGAGAAAAAAAAAGGAAATAGCCCAAACTCGAAAATCCTATTTCGAGGAGAGAGAGGGGGGGGGGGGGGGGGGTAGGTGGCTAACTTTTTTGAAGGCCAACTACCTTTCACTTACATTTTTATCCACACAATACTATATATCCTTGATATTAATATACTGTGGTAAGAAGTGGGGAGGGGGGGCAACCATCCTTTCAATATACATTTTCAATAGTAAAGGTAATGTTGGGAAAAAAAGTGGGGGGGGGGGGGACCCCCCCCCCCCCCCCCCCGTTTTGCCGCCTCCCTGCAACGTTTCCACATGCATAGATCTGGGGGGGGGGGATTTAAAATTTGTACAGTCATACGTTAAATAAACTAAATATGTTTTACGTGCATAGATCTAGAGAGAGGGGTCCGGAACACCCCTCTGACATTCGTAAAGTTATTTAATGCACAAACTAAATCAACTAAAAAGTTATTTAATGTATAAAATAAATCAACTAAAACGGACCTTAGAACCCCCCCCCCCTCCCCAACCGAAAATGTGGATTCGTGTTAAGTTGGTATGAAAAAATGTCATACACATGAAGGTATGACGCATAAGAACCCCCTATCTCCGGTCGAAATAAATTTTCACATTTAGGAAAGGATTTTACGTATTTTGTTCTTGTCAAGAAATTTTTGGGTTAGATTTTTTTTTTACCAGAGTGACCCTCTTGGAAAAAATGTCCTATAGATCCGGGCTTTTTTTTTTAAATTTACATAAATATCAATACAAAAATAAAATTTATTCAAATATGTGTGGCAGTTGGCAGTAAGCAGCTGTCAGTTGGGAGTAAACAGTCAGCAGTTGGCAGTAAGCAGTTGGCTGTCGTATATGGCATTCCATAATTTTTTGATATCAAAAAATCATTTTCTGATCTCAGAAAATATATTTTTTGATATCAGAAAATAAACGAGATTTTTTTTAAATCAAGAATTCGAATTTCTGATATCAGAAAATCATTTTTTGATATCAAGAATTCGAATTTCTGATATTAGAAAATCATTTTCTGATATAAAAAAAATCTTCGGGATTTTATGATATCAAAAAAGGTAATTTTTGATATCAAAAAACCGAAATCTTGATATCTAAAAATATAAGTCATTTTTTGATATCAAAAATTCGAATTTCTGATATCAGAAATTAAAATTGATTTCTTTATATCACAAAATATATTTTTTGATATCAGAAAATAAAAGAAAATGGTGAAGAATCTTTACATAAATAATAAATACTCCCTTGATCTGTAGAAAATCCCGAACTTTAGTGCCAGATTTGCTTTCTACTAAAATTTGTTGATTTCAGATTTTAAGAATGTTTTTTTAATGAAAATATTTAATAAGTGTTCTCGATATTTTTTGGTCATATTTATTTGCATGGAATTCAAATATGAAATGTTTTACGGTGTGACCGTTGTGGCGATCGCAGCTGTACCTTCAAAAATACACCTGAAACGTTGATCCGCCACTTCAAACGTCAAGTCGCACGAGACATCTAGAATGTGACGTCACACGAGAGCTCGTCAGGATTCAATAGGAACTTCTCGGATGTTTTGCGAACTCAACAATAACGTTATTGTTACACAATCGGAACTCCTCGGATGTTTCGCGAACTCAACAATTCCCATTTTTGATATAAAAAAAAATGATTTTGATATTTTGATTGTTTGAAATAAAAAATGATCAGTATTTTATGATATCACAGAAGCAATTTTTTGATATCAGAAAATAAGAACCAAGTAAAATTACGATCGACTTAATGAATGCTCCCCGTGATGAACATTCAGCTTCCCGCCACACAAGTTTGTTGCGAATTTGTTTGGTTCTAATAAGTTTAAAACATGTCTGGATGTTAGGAGACCGTATTTTTTTTTTATTATTTCACAAACTTTATTGATAGCTCAGACTTCACCTTGAAGAATGAACTTCTGCGACCACACAACGAGTACTTGCTTGTCAGCTGTGATGTTACATCACTTTAAACAAAATCAATTGGAGAAGCTAATGGCTGTTGTTGATAGGGGACGGGTTACACAGAAATTCTCAGTCGAAGCCCGACCTTCCAGCACACCTAGATTATTTACTCAGATTTATCCCAAATTGTAAAGTAATATATTTGAATTCCATGGAAATAAATATGACCAAAAAATATCGAGAACACTTATTTTCTTTCATTAGAAAAAAAAAATTAAAATCTGAAATCAACAATCTTTAGTATTCATTATTATTTAGAAAGCAATCTGGCACTGAAGTTCGAGATTTTTCTACAGTTCAAGCGGGTATTCATTATTTACATGAAGATTCTTCGCCATTTTATTTTATTTTCTGATATCAAAAATTATATTTTGTGATATCAAGAAATCAATTTGAATTTCTGATATCAAAAAATCATTTTCTGATATCAGAAAATGATTTCTTGATATCAGAAATTCGAATTTTTGATATCAGAAAATGACTTATATTTTTTGATATCAAGAATTCGAATATTTGATATCAAAAATTACTTTTTTTGACATCATTAAATCCCAAAAAATTTTTGATATCAGAAAATGAATTTTGATATTCGAAATTCGAATTCTTGATATCAAAAAATTATTTCTTGATATCAGAAATTCGAATTTTTGATATCAAAAATCTTGTTCATTTTCTGATATCAAAAAATATATTTTCTGATATCAAAAAATTGAATTTCTGATATCACAAAATGATTTTTTGATATCAGAAAATACTAAATAATATTTTAAAAAACATTAAAACAGTGCCCCATATTTCTGATTTTAAAATGATCTTTTGACATCAAGAATTCAATTTCTTGATGTCAGAAAATTCAAGTTATTTTTTTTCATATCAAGAATTTGAATTCTTGATATCAAAAATTGATTTCTTGAAATGAAAAATTCTTGATTCTTTTTTTTATATCAGAAAATGATTTTCTGATATCAAAAAATCATTGTCCGATATCACAAAATCGATTTTTTGATATCAGAAAATAAACAAGACTTTTATATCAAAAATTCAAATTTCTGATATCAGAAAATAATTTTGTGATATCAAGAATTCGAATTTTTAATATCAGAAAATGATTTTCTGATATCAAAAATCTGGGTTTTTTTGATATTAAGAATTATTTTTTGGTATCAAAAATATTTTTGATATCAAGAATTCGAATTATTGATGTCAAGAATTCGAATTATTGATGTCAAGAATTTCTGTTTTGATATTAGAAAATACCTCAAAAATATTAAAACGGCGCCTCATAGTTGAAGGGGCTTGTTTGGCAAACGATGACCGCCAAATTGTCCTACATCTTGTCTTCTGTTTTCTTCTGCTCCATGAAAAAGATCTGTTTCCTTTGATCAGTAGACATAATTTGTCCAACAAACAAATTAATTTCCTTCGTAAATTCATATAACAACGACTTTGTATTGCTTGGGAAGTGCGAGAGAATAAAGTTACTCGACTTCTATAAACAGTATGCAACGATGATGTTTAATCGTGCATTAAACATTAAATTATTTTCGCGAACTGTGGATTATTTTGCCTTTTTGATCATCAGATGCTGAAGTAGTTCACCGTTGACCACTTTTCACATGATGCTGTATACATTAACAACAATTGCACAAACACTATATGTCTGAGAACTGGTGGGAAGTGACATTGAATTCATGATTTTATGTCTTTCTTGCCTTTTGTAGATATAGAGATTCATTCTCATTGTTTCATGAATGTCGTTAATTCCTCTGAATTCTGTATTGAAACCCTAGATGAGTTGATAGCTACATCAGCTATTCTCTTTCCAGCATCACTGACTCC